TCTGTACATCTTTAACTTACTTGTTCCTGCCTAAGACGGTTATCTTTTATCTGATAACATTCTGATCTGTTTAACTTTGTGTTTCTCTTACACTTAGACCCTTTTAGATGCGTCTATGTATATCATTTGATTCTGCTGGGACGTTTTCAGTCGTGGAGATATTGGTTAGACCTTCTGTAGATATCCTCAGTTCCATTTTGGCATTTTTTGTTCCCACTCACCTACTTTTACAACCATACTTTCCATTCGGCCCAAGTGTCCCAGCCAGTCAGTCCCAGATGATGCTCCCCAACTCCCCGCCTGCGTAGGGTATTCTAAGGCTGCGTGAGATGTCTCCAGTCGTCGTCGTCGACGCCACTGACAATGTCATGATGGCGTCTTGAAAACGTTGAAACGGAAACGTAGATGAAATACAAATACATTGTCTGACAAGTTGCCCCTTTCCGTTCTGGCCGTAGTCGTAGCCTCGCCTGCCCCACGGCTGTTGGCCATAGCGATAGCGTGCGTGGCAGTGGCAGTGGCAGTGGCGGTGGCGGTGGCGGCAGTGGTGGCGGCAAAAGTGGCCCCTATCATTATGCCTGTCGTCTTAGCCGAAATTGGTCGACGAAGCAGCCACAAACAACAAAAGTTTCTTTCATTGCGGATGCTCTTCCAGAATGGGTTCCTCTCCATCTCCCTCTCTCCCTCGTCTATCCCTGATTTCTAGGCCTAAATATATTTGAGTTGAAAGATTCAACATTTTTTCCCCATTTTTTTTTTTCGTTTTTTCATGTTTTCTGGGGTTTTTTTTTTTTTGGTAGAGGAAAAAATTGATTTACGACTTCCGCTGGCAATGAAAATTCACTTTGAGGCTTTGAAAGCACTTTTGAGCTACTTCTGTCCATGGGTCCGTTGTGATCGCCGATTGAGCGCTCTAGCCAGAGTCCGATCCCGAGCTGAGTCCCGAGCCCAGGTCGGGGCTCAGGGTGTTCATTTTTATAGACTCATTTAAGGCGATTATTTAGCAATTTTTAAAGATATTTCTTCCCTGGTAGCTGGCTTTATTTTCGCACACAGAGACAGAGACTCTTGCAGGCGGCGAGCCAGTTAGTGGCGAAATTTATGGCTCAGAAAGTGAATCATTTAAGTTAATGACTTTCAAACGTGTTTCACACTCAAGTGCGAGAGAGACATACAATGGGAGGCTGATGGCGAGGTGAGGGAGATAGGCGATGGCTGATTGACTTGACTCACTGGGCAAGACAAGTAGCCGCAGTGATTGATAATGCGCTGATTGAATTATGGCCATAAGTGTAATTTGGCCAGTGGCAGTGGTGGCAAGGCCCCAAAAACAGGGGTCACCAGACAAGCCTGCAGGCCTCACAATTGTCCTCGTCGGATTAATAATGTTTTGGCCAGAAGCTTTTCTACATAAACATCCCTTGATGACCTATTTCTTATAATGTTTCGGCCTGGAGTAGTTATGGTATGGAGTTATAGCTAACCCCCTGCCTAGCTACACCCCTGACTCCCAGTAGGCACTGATTCACTAACAAATTTCTAGGCCTAGGCCACCTATCATATTTGTTGCTGCTTTCCTCTCCTAAACAAGAGATTCAAATGGAAGTTTGAAGTTCAGATTGTGTCTGCCCAGCCTGGGGGCGTTTTTGGGTTTTTTTCCTTATTTTTGTTCAGATCTGAGCTGAGTTTTGGTTTTGTTTTACGTTTTCAGGCGTCTTTTTGGCGGCAAATCAAACCGAGCTAAAGAAATTGGCAAATTGGCTGACGGCCAGTTGTCGGCGAAACCAAAAAGAGTTGCCTTTTGTGTGGCTCCAACTTTGGCTCTATCTAAGTCCAAGTCCAAGTCGCAGATGAAGATGGAGCTGGGGATGGCGATGGAGTCCTCTGTCTATGCGTGCCAAAGTGCCAATGGCGTTTTAATTCGAAGCTGAAGTTTATGCCGGCGTCAGCTGCCGCCACAGACTGGGTATCGTTTATGAGCTGCCGACTGCTGTTGACTTTTATTTATTTAATGTTTCGGCTTTAGTGTTTTGTTTTTTTGTTTTTTATAATTTTATTTGGCTTTTCCTGCCTTGGACAGAGCAGAGTACGAACCTGTTCCCGACCTGGCTACCTGCAAAAACAGCACCGAGTGGAAGATCGATGCAAAACTGGATTAAGTCCCTTTTACGCCCTAATCCGCACTGGCCCAGGCTCTGGCCCTGGACTCGGGTCATCGTGTAATGGCTAAAAGAGTGAGAAAGAGATACAGAGTGGTAGCACGAGTAGGCCGGATAGCGAGAGAGAGAGCAGGCGAATCCTGCCCTAGACAGAGACATGGCGCCAGTCAGTCAGTCAGTGACCATTGTCATGTCATTGTCCCTCTAATAGGATCAGCAATGCTGTCTGAGCCCCGGCGTGAAATCCGCAAATGTATGTTTACCTTTGGCCCAAGGACCCGAAAAGGGGTTGGCACTGCACTGCGATGCCCAATTCCACTCACAGCCCACTCCTCGTGGTAGGTGTCTCTATGTTTATTTGTTTTGTCTAAGGCCGTAACTTTTTCTGCCGTTTCTTTCTTTTGTTTTTACAGAATATTCGTTCTCAGCACTTCCCAACTTCCCAAAAACAGACAGAATCAGCCTGATCTTGGGCTGAGATGATTCAACAAAAAGAAGAATCATTTTTGAAAAAGTTCGCATCGATGTTGATGGGAAAATTGTGCAAACAATAAGAAGCGCAAAGCTCTCGACTCAGAATCAAGATATGGCACAAACACATACTCAAGTGTCCGTATAGAGGAAGATACATTGTATACATTGTATGTATAGGAGTATTCCCTGTATATATGGATCTGGCCATCATTATGCCTTTCGATAGCAATTATTTGCTACCGTTTAATTGCGCGACGAGCGATTTTGTGGGCCGCTGTTGCCTGATATTTCACACGAGTTCGCGTTCTCCTCTGCCGCTCCACCTCCGCCCACAGTCATCGCCCATGCCAATGCCCACTCGAGAGCAGAGTTCCAGACCCCTGAGCCCCATTTCGTCCAGCCCCCTGTGAATGCTGTCATGTGTCTAATGAGTCGCAAATACCTGCGCTCTTCCCGCTCTACTTCCAGGCTCCATCGCCTTCTGGCCCAATTCCGAGGCATGGGCTTAAAGTTTTCCGTCTCTTTGTGTAATTCGCACACTTTGTATGTGCAAGAGGGTTCTGGCCATGTGAAGGTATTGTGGGTCTGCCAACTTTGGCAGTAATTTGCATAGGGAACTTTTAAATCATACGGATTGAAAATTCACCCCCCATGACACCTCAGTGGACGTGGCTTTGAGGGGCAGCCTTGGCGAAGAAGAGCAGCTGTCGCGGTAGACACATTCATAAATATACATTGCTATGTAAATAGATTCCAGGATTCCGAATTATTCTGAATTACTAATCGACTGTTCACTAATGACTGTTTGGTCACTGGATCTCTGTATTATTACCAATAGATATATTTTTATGATTTACTCTCCGCTAAAAATTAGTTAATTTTTTCCTAGTCGTCTGTCGCTTTGATTGGATCACTTATTCCAATCATAATCCAGCCTTTAGGCTTCCATTATGCCAGCCCATATATATGCATATGTACTCGTATGTTGTTCAAAGTACCCATTTGATCTGCAGTTCAATAATCCAACATATGGATATGTATATCATATCAGGCTTTTGTGGAATATTTCCCAGTTTATGGGCCATATTATAAACCGTTTCCATACTGAACAAACGAGACGAGTCATTCCGAACAGACGTGATCACTTAATTACCTGTGCGAACTATTCAACCGAACTGCCCGTATGTAGAAAAACCCCCAGACCCCAGACCCGAGACCCGAGATCCCCGGAGAGGGCTTCTACTTCTACTTTCAATCAGCCGACAAAAAGGAGAACCGGTTGCCAGTTGGGCTGACATTTTCACCTTGTTAATTATGCGCACGGTCATGCAAATCTCGTAATGAAGTGACGGCCATTGAGAGTTGCATTGTCAGCAGGCGATGATATTTTAATCGTATGTCTTGTACAAATATAGATATGGGGGACCTCAACTGGCGGAACTTCAATGGCAACTAACTGGAGCCTAGCAAAAGTGCTGGCGTGTGGGCTTGACGCGGCCGTACTCTCCGTTCTCAGTGGGTGAGGCCTTGCAATTGAGAGCATCTGAGTCGAGCTTCTCCTGGCGCTCCAACAGAATCCGCTCCGCATCCTGCTTGGTCACCGTGTGCTTCTGGTGCAGGCGATGGCGACGGGCGTAGCGCAGAAAGTGCTCGTCCCCATACATCTGACGGCTCTCCAAGTAGATCTGGGGAACCCGACCGTAGAGGAAGGCCTGCATTTGCGGATACCACGATAACTGCTCCTTCCACTGTTCATCGATGGCCTTTATTTGAGTGTTTAAGTCGCGCTGGTAGCGCTCCTTTGCGACCAGATCTGCTGGCATGATCGGACAATGTCGTTGTAGTTGTAGTTGTAGTTGTAGAACTGGCCTTAGAGGTTCCAGTACGAGTGTCAGTATCTGGGAATATGGCAACTTTTGGATGAGCCCTCGTCCAGGGCACATGTGATTGGCAGCTGAGTCGAGCGTTCCGTTTCCCTAATCGCATTAGCAGAGCTGGCCAGAAACCACTTGACAAGCGACAGGTGCCTTCGGTCCAGGTCCAGTCGCTCCTAAGCTGCCACCGACAGCTGTGCGAAGAAAACTCCCTCTTTTTTTGTCAGAACTCTATATGAAAAAAGGTGAACGAACAGAAAATAAAGCTATATCGACTCGGCTATTGATTCTGATCAAGAATATATGTACATATATACTTTATGGGACACATGTCAACATCCACCTCAAAACCAATACAATGTATCCCTAAACTCCTCGAGTTTTAGGTTTAAAAACAAAGATCCCTTTGAAAATCGAGATGCTTTGTGGAGACACGACTTTAAAGACTATTTAAATTTTAACCACATTCCGCTTTCAGAACCGATCCGTTTATTTAGCTTTTGGTAAAGTAGATCATTACATCGGCCCGCGGAATGCCATCGACAAACCAGGTGGTATTGAGATAGTATCGGCCATCCGGCACAACTGTCTGGATGATATTGTTTATATGCTGAACGGGAATCTTATCCAAGATAATATCATGCTAGAAACGGGGGAGACCATAAGACAATTTTTGCTTGAGAATTTAAGAATTGCACTCACGTGATAGGGGCAGGTGTGGTTGATATTCGAGAAGTCGGCGAATGTTTGAAAAATCCAGTTGACAATGACGTTGCTTCGATCGCGTAGGAACTTACAGGCATCGAAGCGGACATCGAAGTTGTACAGGATTCTCTTATTCTCGCGCATCCTTATCTGGGCATTGGTCTGCAAAGATCGAAAGTTACGTGGCCCGGCTTGTATGAAAAATCCCCCTTACCACGGTGTTAGTAATCGGCAGCTTGTGAAGTTTGGTTTTCAGCGACAAGTACTTATATGTTCGATTCACAGATCTCAGATAGCAGTAATCAAAGTCCAAAAATACCCGATCCCGCACCAAGCAGCGAACATTGTTGAACTCAAAGTTTCCGCAGATCTGCTCGTATACAACTCCTCAGTTCTCATTCTAATATATATTTCGATTCCTTACTGCGATCGGTCCTATGACAATTAGTATAAAAAACCGCAGGGTATTCATTCTGGAACAAAACTGAGAATGAAACTCGAATAAAACAAATATTGTACTATACTCCGAATATACTATAATTATAATTAATCGCTCCATTAACCCTCCTAATCAGTATACCCAAATATCGATTTCCGAAATGTGGAGGCCCATTAGCTCAGGTTTTTTGGCTTTATAATAACAATAGCATCGATCAGTGCAAGACAGTTGATCCACCTAGTCAGAACAATTAATACAAGCCCGATAGTACAAAAAATTGGCAACGTTAGAAACAGATATTATAAGCTAGTCAGTTTCCTATAAGATTAGTGTTTTAACAAAAAAGGATAGTCCGCGCCTTTGTGAAAAACTGCAAGTTCCTGTTTGTTCGAATTTGAAATTCACGTTTAATTTGATTTTTGTTTCATTCTCCATTATGACATCGACACGACTCACAGTTCTATTACACAACAACATATTTTAGAACAAATATGTTTAAATACATAAATTGTCTGTTCCTGTTGGCCTTGGCCTTCATCGCCTGGACTGTTTGCTGTTATTTTCATGAAATCGAGGAACAGCTGGGCACCCAGGGATTCGATGTGGAGCTGTACTCAGGTGAGAAGGAGCGCATCACGAGTACATATCCTTCCGTATATCTATATATATTACATTACAGAACACCCTGGCTTGAAATATAGTCAATTGCCTTGCAAAAACATCCCGAAAGCTGTTCCACAAACTTTTCCTACCGTTGAATTAATATGCAGCTCTTTCATTGTCTTATGCCTGACATATACCTGGGTCAAGCTTTCGACGTTCTTGGTCGAGCGGACAGGTCAGTTTTGGCAGGCCATGAAGCCGGAGGAGGAGGACAGGCAGGTGAAAGAGCAACTGATGGAGCGACTTAACAGCTTGAAGGCCGAATTTCAGATGATGAGTGAACTGCTGAAGCAGCACCAGCCCAGTGTTGATTTGGAGCTACAGACCATGGGCACCCTGGAGCTTCAGTCCCACAGTGGCCGTAGCTCTTTAGAGGTACAGAAATGTGACAGTGGCTGCTCGGAGGTCCACCAACTGCCCAGTAGCAGTTCATGCAGTAATCACTGCAGCAATGACGTCCCCATCAACGAACTGTGGAATCAAAAGAATGACGTCTGCTCGATACGTGGTACCCCCAGATTGCCGGACGTACCGACGGTGGACCAGGACACGCAGTCTAATTACATCTGTACCAGCCAGATCCACATCGGTCCAAACATGTTCGATACAAAGCCCCTCAACTTGGAGCTAATACGCCAGTCAAGGCTGTTCGCGAGGAAACCGAGTGTATTCCTCCAGGTGTCTGATAATTTCATTGCCGGACCCAGGGACAGGCCCCGGATAGGAGGCAGCAGTTGCACAATTGCCCTTCCACCGCCAAACATGTGAGAATGTGAGAGCATTTGATAAACCGAACTAAATTTAAAAATAAAAGGAAAGGTTTGGACTTATTTAAAAGTGACGCCCTTAATGCAGAGGTTTATTTCCCTACCTCATATCTGCCTTTCACGCGTTCACAAACGATTTTGTTTAGGTCAAATAAAATGGCAGCAATGAATCAAGATCCATTGAACTGCAATAATTACTTAAAAGTTCCCGCATTTTTGTGTTATGTATCAATAGAAAATTGGAAGTACCAACTGAATTTCGCGAATTCGTCGTTTTTCGCCGTTAGATTTTTGTTGATTTTGAAAACTGCTATCGATAGTTATTAACGATAGTACTATTTGTTGCTTTGCAGCCCTGGGACATTTATTTGGTATATTTTAAAATAATCGATAATCAATAGCAGCATCGATAACAATTTTATAATCAATAACAGAATCGATTTCAATTTTATAATCAATAACAGCATCGATTTCAATTTTAAATCTAATGAAATCTAAAAACATCGATGATTCACATTCAAACAATTTCTATTTGGCGCTCAAGTTTGGTGGGACTTTTTTGGGATTTTCTCTGGGATTTTTCCTCGCCACAATGTCCTTTTTCCCCTCAACAATGTCCCTTACGGCGCATTCCATACCACTCACGTTTTCCTACGTGTATGCTGCTGGCAACATTCAATTTGTATGGGCCAGACTCATGTGCCGTGAAATCGAGCAGCATTGTTCCACAACATTGCGCGGATTGAGCAACATTTTGCATACCCTGGGAAATGGATATTATAGAACTAAGAAAATGTTTGTCATCTAATACACCAATATAGGCCAAAACTAGTCAGTTTCTGTTTTAAATGTATTTCAACGATATTTTGAAGGCTTTGGTCTTCTTACAGAAACCAAGAATGGGTATCGGGATCGAGATATATTTAGAAGACCCTAATCATATGCATTAATATGTCTTAAACATAACAATCTGAGATCATTTATATATTAATTACGTTTTAAAACAGCTGGGAAAAACAGTTTCTTCATATATGTACATATATCAACGAAATAGGGTATACCTGTGCCTAAGCTCCGGTTGACGTGACATTTTTTTTTCTTAAACCTTGTTTTCTACACTATACAATAAAAGAGAGAACTTAAAAGTAGTCAATCAGGTAGAAAATGTATTCATCAATGGCCTTAAATTATGTGGGCAGAGCAAAGGGTTTTAGTTGGCCGGCATTATTCGACGGAATATCAAAATTGAGCAATATGAACGACTATCCTCTTTAGTTTGTTTTGTTTGACCCTTTTCGCTAAAACCTTTTTTTAGACAAGATCCAATAAAAGCATGTATTAACAATAAACCAGTTAAGTAGAAAATAGGTTCATAAATCGTATAAAATTATGTGGGCATAGCCAAATGTTCTATATAGATGGTAATATTCCACGGAATATCAAAAACGAGGAATATGAATAATTATCGGTATATTTTGAAAATGAGACGGTATATTTCGGTATTTATTTGAGTTGGTAATAACAACAATGAGGTATATTTATGGTATATTTTGATATTTTTGACGAAGTTTCAGTATATTTCTGATTGTTGTTTTTAGCGTCGCGTTCAAAATAAAAATAAATAAAATAATGCCGGAGGATGCCCAGGAATTGAGAAAAGCTAGGCGGTTCCTCAAAGAGCGCCTTCAGCGGGACTATACCACTCTGCGAGGCTACAAAGAGGAGCGCTCCAATGTGCGCCAATTGCTGCAGCGTACCGCGGAAATGGGCGAATCTAACTCCTTGCTGTTGATTGGGCCGCGAGGCGCTGGAAAAACGACGGTATGATAAAATGAACTTTAATATATTTGTATCTGAAGCTAACCAAAGTCCTTGCAGCTCATAAATGCAGTGCTGACAGATCTACTAGTCAACAGATCGTTCGTGGAGAACACGCTGATAGTGCATCTCGACGGGAATCTGCATACAGACGACCGCATTGCACTGAAGTCAATTACGGTGCAGATGCGGCTGGAGAATGCAGCCGACGGCAAGGTCTTTGGCTCGTTCGCCGAGAATTTGGCTTTCCTTTTGCAGTGCCTCAAGGCGGGAGACAAGAAATCCAAGAGCGTTGTCTTTATTCTGGAGGAATTCGATCTGTTCTGTACACATCACAACCAAACGCTGCTGTACAACCTCTTTGATGTCTCGCAGTCGGCCCAGGCACCGATCTGTGTGCTGGGAGTGACCTGCCGCCTGGATGTGATCGAGCTGCTGGAGAAGCGCGTCAAGTCGCGGTTCTCCCACAGACAAGTGTTTCTGTTCCCCAGTGCCGACCAGTTTGAGGCGTACACAAAGCTCTGCCAAGAGCTCCTTTTGATACCCAGTAACAGTGAGCTAAAGGCGAGTGCCGACCGCATCGACAGCCTGTATCTGCTCAAATCGGAAGCTCTCAACTTTAATCGGAACCACTTCGATGGCGTGGAGTATGAGTTCGACAACAAATTCGTTGAAAATTGGAACAAGCACCATGCCAAAATGCTCAAATCCTCACAGGCCCAAAAAACATTTCAGATGCTCTACGATTTCGACATCAGCGAAGCATTCCTGAAGAACTTCATATTTCGTCTGGTAGCGCAACTAAAGCCAGATGCTCCCCACATCACTGTCGACCAGCTCACGGCCCTGTCTGCCCAATACGAGGGGGATGACAAGATTGACCTGCTCTGCGGCCTCTCTGTGCTGGAGCTGTGCCTCATTATAGCCATCAAGCATCATTCGGAGATCTACGATCGGGATCCTTTCAACTTTGAGATTGTATTCGCGCGCTTCTCCAAGTTTGCCAAGATCTCAACCACAATGCAGAGCGTGGAGCGTTCGATTGTCCTGAAGGCGTTCGAACATTTGCGAATCGGGGAGCTGATCATGCCGCTCTCAAACAGCGGCGTGGGTAAGGTGCAGAAGGAGTTTGAAATGCACAAAATGGCCTTGACTTACGGCCAGATTCAGCAGGCGGTTCAGCGGTACCAGGCCTTGCCCACGGAGGTGGCTCAATGGGCGCAAAGCTCGCTCATCTAGTAAGGATCTTTCTTGATCCCACCAATTCCTTAATCTTTTATCTTATTTATTTTTGTAATATTTATAATAAATTAGGTTTTTATATTCAACTTGTGCTTGTTCTTGTTCTGTATATAACGAATTTCTATATATGTATGTATTCAGGTCAGGCTGAGCTCTTATCTGGTCCGAGTCGAAGCGGATCGATAATGTTAATTCCTGGAGCCACCCGCATGTGGTTTATTCAGACCCATCCGAAATATCTCGAAATGTGGGTGACTTTCCAATATAAAAGACGTTGCGGTGGTCACAGCAGTCACGCTAACTTGGAGTGTCATCAGCATGAGATCCTTAACTGTCCTAGGAGTTATCCTCCTGCTGGTGCTCGTGGCCACCAGCCAGGCAGATGACAGCCCAGGATTCTTTCTGAAGATCACCAAGAATGTCCCCCGCCTGGGTAAGCGAAGCGAAAGCTTTGGAATGAAGAACCTGAAGACCATTCCGCGCATAGGACGAAGCGAACAGCAGGTGAGTGACGACCCAATAAACCTTTTCACAACATTGCTCTCAAAACTATTTTTTATCCTTTAGACCGCTGTGACACCTCTGCTGACCTGGCTCTGGGATGTGGACGTGTCGCAGCCCAGCAAGCGGCGCCTGGCCACAGGTGAGGCAGCTGGCCAGGAGCGAGAACTTACCGTGGTTCAGCCGGTAAATGCCAATACCCTGATGGAGCTCCTCGACAACAACGCCATTCCCAGCGAGCACGTGAAGTTTGTGCATTGGAAGGACTTTGATCGCGCCCTCCAATCGGACACAGATCTGTACGCCAAGGTCATTCAACTGGGCCGCCGCCCTGACCATCGTCTGAAGGAGGATCTCAACTTCAACAGCTACGTGCCCATCTTTGACGGCAACGGCGACCAGAACGCCCCCTTCATGATGTACAACAACAACGAGGACCGGGATCTGTATGGCGGAGGCAATCGCTACGATCGCAACTTCTTAAAGTACAATCATTTGTGAGGAAGAAGTGACATATGATTCAACAGTGAGAGCTCTCTATAGGCATCTCTGGAACTTTAGGTGTCCGTGGGTGAAATCTTTCACTGCTTATACCATATGCGTGTGTGTTTGTGCATTGCTAATTTATTTTTATGTGCGCAAATCTTGAAATAAAGTCGAGAATACCAAAGACCATTGCTCTGGAGAGCCTTTCTTTATCGGGTCCCGGAAGGCAGTCCAGTCCCCCAGTCTCTGACTGATTGCAGTCCATTAACGGTACGGTTCTTCTTCTGTGGCACCATATAATCGCCCTGGGGATGTGTCAACAACCTAACGGCTTTCTTCCTCCTCTCTTTTTCTTTTGAAACGACTCAATGGAACGATTTCTGCTTATCAAATTTATGTGACATTATATATATTAGGAAATTCCAGCCGTTTTTAAATACAATCGCATTCCTACGGGGAGTTGGGGATCGTTTCGGGACTGGTCAACTGGCTCACCGCATTTTGCTTTATAATTCAATTAAATGAAGTTCACGCAAATTGAATTCGCAAACAGGATCGTGTCCGTCTGGCGCCGAAACATTTTAGGATTTGATGTATTTATTTTGTTTAATTAGCGATCCGTTGTTAAATATTTGACATGCTATTGTTGCTGTTGACCAGAATTCACCAGCCCAGCCTGGCAATTAAAAGTCCATAAACAATTGGAAATTACAATCCGGGCTCGAACTCTGTATATCGGGACAGACTCCATGACGACTCCACAAACTTGACTTTGAAATTTTTGCAATGCCCGGCATTGCTGTGTTTTGTTTTTGATTTTTCGAATTGTTTTTTTTTTTAATTTTTATTTTTAGTGCAAGCGTAGAACAAACAAGTTTGCTATGAGAGCGAGAGAGAAAGAAAGAGCGAGCGCGAGAGAGCAGCAGAAAGCTTACACAGCTGCATATATTAATGCAAGGTGAGGAACTTTCAAAAAGCCCTCTTAAAGTTTCTCTTTAAATATGCCGCAAAAAACTGGAGTACCGGGGACCGAGGCTGCCGTACCTTTATTTGCATATACCTTTGACAAAGCCAACACAACACACACTCTTCAAGCGCAGCTTACTCTCCCGCTCCCACTCGCGTACACTCTCCTGCGCTGTGCTCCCCAGCATTGGCGCTCGCTCTCTCCCCACCCAAGCTTGGAGCATAAATACGTGTGCGCTTGCGGCTTCGATTGAAGAAGACTAACAGACATTGTCGTTGCCGGTTTTGTCATCAACGCTGTTGTGGTGTTTTAGTGGAATTTCGACGGATATACGGGTATACGTGATCGTGTTAAAGGCGCCTCCCACTCCACCGCACGCGCCCCCCTGATATGTGAAACGAGCTTTTTGCGTTTCAAGCTGCGACGAACAAAAGAAGCAACAACAAAATCAATAGATAACACAAAATTAGCCACGCTTGTTGTTTCGGCCAATTCAATTAAGTGCGAACAAAAGAAAGTCCAAGCCCAGTCCGGGGACCAAGTGATAATCTATCAAATGGACCACAAAAGCGTTTCCTAATTAAACACGAAAACCCAATAAAAAAAATTAGCCCCGAAAAAGAAAGTCTACGCTGGACACAGGCATTACACAACAAGAGCGTGCAATTGACCCAGGCCACGGAGCATACGGTGCAGAGCACGGATCAAAGGCTGTCAGCGTCAACCTATTGCTTAGTGTGCAGTACGCAATACGCAACCTCCCTCCCTGCCCCCAGCAAAAACAACAGTTATTCCACAACGCAACTATGACGACTGCGGTGAAAGTAATCTTGGCCTGGTGTCTGGTGAGCGCATTCGCCATGCAAATGGGATCGACATCAGCCATACCAATTTGGGAGTTTTTGACGCGCAACGAAAAGGTAAGAGCCAGACGGAACACTCAATCGGAGATATATTCAATATTAGCATATATTGTATGACCATGCGATTTCAAAAGCTATGAATCAGAGTTCCTAAAATCCACATCCACAATTTTGAAAAACTAAAAAATGGGTTTATAGCTTCCTCTCTTCCTGTCAACGCTATATTTTCGAAAGTCTCAAAAGAAGTGCTAATTGAAAAAAAGAAAGCTTTCAGATCTCTAGATGCTTTCAGTATTCACAAATGTATGGAGACTTCAATAACACCTCGTATTCAGAGAGAACAGCTGCTTTAGTTATGATCGGAATCACCGGATTGTCCTTGGCATTGTGCATCTGTTGAATCTAGCACGACACTGAATGCCTAAGTGGAACATAATCGATATAAATATGAGTATTGATATTGATATTGTGATAACTTCAATGAGCATCGTAAACATACTAATTTTTGCATATTAACGGGGCTTTCTGCTTCTGCTTCTTGTCTTTTCTTGTTAACGCATGTTGGTCGCAATATGCATAGATACTCGTATCGTTGGATCGTTGGATCGGCGATCTAGCAGTGCCCATGCTGAAATAAAAGCAATCAAAACAAAAGAAATTAATATGGAATATGAATGGATAACAAGACTCTGCTCGATGGTATCTTCAAAGTCAGTTGGCAGTGAGCGGTATTTGGTCGCTCATTTGCATAACTTTACCGTATTCGGTGCCCCCCTTTGGGGGCGCTGACAAAGAAAACACAATATACAATATATACTTCAGATCAGAAGAACACGGACACAGTCCTTGGCATAAATATGCCCCAAGCAGACTGTGAGTGTGATCTTGACATTGTGCGTTATCAAAAATGCGGCAAATACTTCGCGCCAATTGCCCATGATAATGACCATCGTTAGAAATACCGGCTGAGCCGGTCTACTTGTTTCGTTCGGTCTGAGTTTGTTTCGTGGAAATAGACTTCAAGACTTCACGCGATTCCCACTTTCATTCCCCCTGCTTCGAGCAGGTTCGAGGCTGAGACTCTGTTTCAGCTCCCAACTATTGCCAATATATACAATATACATATATGCATATCTCGTTTTCTCAAGCGATGAGCACCGCTCTGCTGTTCCCCCATAGAAAGGTTATCGGGGCGAGCTAGCCAATCCCCAGCAGCCTTCCGAATTAGCCAAAAACAGGTGGGACGCAAATGAGCTACGAGCGGAGTCACCAGAGCATGGCCCAAACATTAATTTCCATTTATGGCAAACAACGGTTTCAATTTACATTTGCAATTGCTGTAAATTGGCCGAAACCCCCTTTCCACCCCCACCCGCCCCCTCCGTTTTGAAAGGATGAAAAACAACTAAAAGCTTTTCACTTTTCTGCACAAATGTTTGTGCAACAAAGCGTGACAACACTGCAGCAATTTTCTCTTCTGTTTGTTCATTTTTTAGCTGTTGTTTTTTGGTTAATGAACTCCAAGGCGGAGTTTGTTTCAAGAGAAATATAAATACATTTGCTGGGATCTTTTTTTTTGCATGTGTTTATTAATTAATTGTTGGATTTCAATGTACGAGGTGTATATATAGCGATTTGCCCAGTCATTAGACTTTTTTGCGTTTTCTTTTTTGGCAGCGCATCAATCTGAAAACCTCTTTTTTTTGTGCTGGTGCTGACCGCTAAGCACGCGAACTGCGCCTTAAAAATCAAAGCTCCGAACAATAGAACCCCAGAGAACAGAACTGAACAGAACACAGTGTAAGCTGATCCAGCTAGAACTGATTGTATGCCATATCCGGCACCCCCGCAAATGAGAAAATAATCTCGGAAAAAAGCCCATTATATGCCAAAAAAAAATAGCAACGCAATTCTCGATTCTAAAGGCGGGAAGAGAACAAAACATTTGTTGGGTTATTGATGATGACGGGTATTGCTTATGTAAATCTCTAATTGCAATTAAAATTCACTTTCCAATGCTGCTAGCCCCAGCGGGATCCATTAATAGATGGGGGTTTCTTCTTCCTGTTTTTGATGCTGTAGTTTCTTTCGACGATGCTACTTTTTACCGTTTGCAAAGCTTTCGATTTTTCGATTGCAAAAATAAAAAAATAAAAAACATCCATTCAACATTCGGCTTTTTGGGGCCTTTATGTTTTTTATGGGATGCAAACGCGTTTAGCCGGTTTGCGGTTCGAACTTCAATAAATAAATTATGTTCGCATTACGTTTTTTTCGGGTATTTACGTAAAATATGTTAAGATATCGCCGCAGATACAACTCGTAATGGGAACGAACCCTTTTTCCAAAGTGGCTAATCGAACGGGACCAGGTCCATAGCATTCCAGAGGAGACAACTCCGCTTCGGAGTCTCATTACGATTTCTTCAAGCTGCTCTCTGCCGTTGTTTTTTGTATGTTATGAAATGATTCAGTTTTTTGTTTATTTCTTTTGTTGGCCATTTCGATGTTTCATAATGTAACCTGCGCATATCAACAGGTTATTGAACTGATCCGTTGAACCGCCTCCGCCAAGGCGGTTGAGGAGGAAGATCTTTGATAGCTTTGTTGGGCCTACGCCCATTTATTTGTAGTTCGGGAAGCTACCAGATACCAGAACAGCGACAGCCTAATTTGAATCTTCTCTCATCTTTGGCTTTTTCAGTTTTAATTGAATATTCCTCTTTATTTATATTTATATGGGGAAGCCGAGTCAGAGATCTAATTAGTTGCGGGCCAAGAGAGATGGTTTTAGGCCAAGATCAATTCATTCTCTAGACGTTCCCGTAATTGCATTCGATGTCAGCTTGATCACTTAGCTGGAAGGCTAATAAACTACAGCCTCCGCGACGATCTTAAATCTACATATCTATATATAAAAATATATAGTATGTGTGTATGAAATGTGCATACATTATTGAGGTGTATTCTGTACGTGACTTTGACAACTCCCGCAAAAGGCTGATTGGAATTTTTACCTTATATTTTTACACCGTTTATATGCCATAAATTATTTAGATAATATTTTGTTTTTGTTCACATTTGTTTCTTTAATGTTTAGTTTTTTTTTTTTTTTTTGGAGTTCTGGCTAATTATTTAATTGTGTCAGGGCCTGGACCATAAAATTTTGACAGAGTTATTCGAATCAGATAACGTGCTGCATGACGTACTTTATTTTACATATAAATACATACTAAACAGTGCGTTTCATAGTTACAGATAGACTAAAAAAGATAAGTATAGACCTGAAAGCACTGTGAAAGCGGTTGGATTATATTTCGAACTATTTCTGATAGGTCCAATCATAGATGATGATTAGCTCGAGGGTCCATTCTATAATCTGTCTCCTCACGATAGGTTTTCTTATCTTTGTTCTGCGTTAGACCGATTTATTATTGAATAGGTTGGAGCTTCAAAACGGTACATGGTATTCGGCCTAGCCTCAATCTTTTGCGACGTGCTGTACTTTTGCACTTGTCGGAATGGAATTGAGTAATTTGTTGTTGCCACAAGTGCATGAAATGTTTAGCTTTAAAAAAACACTCAAAACACAAAGCGATAGAGACAGACAGAGATGGAGATGGAGAGCTGAAGAGCGTGTGGGAAAGAGATAGAGGGATGGTGATGCATATTCGTATCAATTGCATTTTACATTTTGCACACGTTTCTGTGCACACTGCTGTTCGTCTTGGCCTGGCTTTTGGCTCTTGGCTCTTGGCTCTTGGTAACGGTAATTCGTAAGTTGAGCTTCATCCAACCGCACACCTTTGCCCCCTCCCCACTACTGCTGCTGCTGCTGCTGATGATGGTCGTCTCCTCCATTATGCAAACGGCGTAAAATTGTAAAACGCCGAAACGAATCCAATGCAAATGAAGCTCTTTCGTGCGCGCCGATGTATGGCTGTATGCTCGATGGAAGGGGATCAAGGGTGCCCCCGGGACGCTAGACACTGGACACTAGACACCTCCCCAATAGCATACCAAAATAAACAATGACCCAGAATTGATTCCCAGATCTTCTTACTTTCATTGCGTGCGATTCTGTTTTTCCCGTTCATTTGTTGATCTGTTTTTTTCGGCCGGTGATCGGTGCTAATGGGCGTGAGGGAAGATCCGGATTTGGATACAGTATTTGGGGAGTTTCTGTAAATTTATTATCATTGGATTAGCATCGAACGACACACAGCTCAACCGCTTGACGTCACCTATGAGAAGATGGGGATATCTGTGAAATTCCACCGCAGTCAGAGACGCAGAATGTGTCATCTATGTAGAACATTCGGTGCTAATTAAAAGTCCATTCAACGCTCCGCTAGCCACGAAGAATAGACAATGAGGGGGGCCGCTCAGTTTGGCTACTGAACCGTAAACCCATCCACAGCAGCGACAGCGCCAGCTCCAGCGGCAGCCCCAAAGTGGAGCACACCCACGCCCCATGGCAGCAGATGCTTGCCTTCGGTAGGGGATTGCGAGACAACATGCGAGAGGCTTTCGAAATGCATTTCGTTTGTGCAACGAAAGTGCAACCATCCCAGCGCTTCGCTACTCCCCTGCCACCGCTGACTCACACACACGCACTGCTGCTACTGTCATTGCCTAATCTAATCCACCCTCTGGCCTCTTTTTTTTGCTTTGCAGATGTCTTACCTGTACTCCACCTTTGCCCAGCTGGTAAGCGTGCACTGCAAATCGACGGTGGGCGGCGGACTCCCGGTGAACCAGTGCAAGCATAATCTACTCGGCTACGGCTACGAGAAGCTGCAGACACTCTCAGACGCGCAGCTGGAGGCACTCGATCCCTATCAGCGCGATGCCAATGAGCTGAGTAAGTACTCGTGTCGCGTGGGAAGCCAGACCAGGCCAGAGCAGACCTGGTCTGGCCAGACGCTGGCTTCCGCATCAGAACTTCCGCACTGCAGAATCAACGTGTGGTCCAAGTAGTACGTGATCTGATTTCTGTTTCTCTTCCCGTCCGCTTCTTCTCCGCAGTCTGGTCATCGATCATGCGGGAGCATCCGAGTGCCACACTGATCACCACGCGGAAGCCGCTGCCGCCGTTGCCCACGCCGCCAGCCTCCTCGCTGATCATCCTCACCCACCAACAACTGCCGCAGCAGCAGGCGGCGGAGTCCAACGCGAACCCGCTCTTCGACAGCAATAACGAGCAGAAGCACCAGTATGCCATGGACATGGACATGGCCTACGGCTTTGGGTCTTCCTCTCCAATGCATCCCCAACAGCAGCAGCAGGCGAGCAGCGAACTGCCGATGGCCCTTGCCCTTACTGGAGAGCCGCCAAAGACCTACCTGAGCGGGCCACTGGTTTTCCGGCTCCGACCCGATGGCTCGCCCGTGGAGGAGGACCAGAACCGGCCGCTGCCCCACGACGACGACCTGGACATCTTCCGCCTGGGCCTGGCCGCAGCTGGAGCCGGAGGTCGGCCGCGCGCCACCATCCCCAACAGGCACCGCAAGATTGCCACGATCAGTGCCCTGAAGCAGCAGCACTTCGCCTCCATGCTCCAGCGTGACCTGCAGCCCCCCCACCAGATACAGAGGCGACTGTTCCGCCAGCAGCTGGCGTAAGACCCACACGCCTGGTGGCGTGGCCCTAGATATAAGTCTTTTGTGTGAGGATTGAATGTGATACAATATATATCTGCGTGCATGGATGAGTGCGTATGGTGGAGTGTGCCTGAGAGCCTTCCCTCGTTTTAGTTGAGGAGGAGGAGCAGGAGGAGACACTTCTTGGATGCACTTTGAGCTTTAATGGAATTTCGACCGTATTCGTACAACGTTTAAGTTTTCTTTAATTTTATTTATTCGCGTGCATTAGCCGTAAGATCAAATACAAGTAGAGATTCTTGAATAATAAACAGCATAATTATTATCATTATTATTTGCTTGTTAATTCTGAATGGTTGGAGATCGTCGTCTGCACTTGACGATCCCAACAAAGACGGAGATCTGGGAGCTCTGGGAACCGGTTGGACATGTTAATGATGAAAGTCGCATCTTTGGCAATCCAGTTCCTTGTCGCACACACCCATCGCATGCCCATAAGCTGCACGCGAAAGCCTTATTAACCCACTTCGTGCCTGGAAACCTACTTAAAGCCGAACAATGGAGATGTGCAGCCCGTTCGATGGGAGGGCAGATCCGGTTTGACACTCTCCTAATCCCCCGAACAATTAGAACCCGCCGAGTTTGGCAATTACAATGCGATGTAACTGGTTGGGCCGCCTTCCCGTGATGGGCACATCAATCTCGGATATCCGACAATGCCGCCTTAATTGGGAACGTACGTCACCACAGCTGAATGAATGATTGGCGGGAATTTCCAAAAAGGCAATAAGCATACTCCCATTAACTGGCATTAACTTATTTGTTCAAAAGAGAAATAACAAATCGTCAGATAAGGGACCGACGACACGTTTTGAATTCCGACAGACGACTTCAGTTCTAACGGAAATCGATAAAAGTATCGATTGACATGACAGCGAATCCTCTACTTACCGTTAGATCTGGCCTTTTTGAAAATAACCAACAGACTCATACCCTGGGAAATGGATAAGTTTTAGTCAAAGTACAATAATCTGAAGTACATAAATGTAGTTAAATTGTGTGGTTAGAGCTAAGTTAGCCAGAATTATTCAACGGACTTTTTCGCTAAACCTTTTTTGGTGCAAATCCAAAGCAAGATTTATAATAAACCAGTCAAGTAGAAAATAGGTTAATTAATTGGATAAAATTATGTAGGCACGGCTGAAAGATCTATCTGGCTAGTAATATTCGACGAAATATCAAAAACGAGGAATATGTAACATATAATAGTATAACTTGAATTAGTCAGTATATTTACGAGATATTTTTAAAATGAGACGGTATATTTTGGTTTATTTCTAAGGGTCAGACCGATAAATCGTCGATAAATCCAATATGTCGAGACAGCTGATCGAAGCTACTGAAAAATTATAATAAATAAAATAAAAACGTTTCCCTGAATCAATAGATACGGGAGCGAGATAAGGTTGTACTTCAACGGATTCGCTGAATTTATGCTGTTTCACCTAACGACGTAGAACAGAAAACAATTAATCATACATTTATATATACATATGTATGTATAAACAAAAAAAATAATATTTATCAACGTCTTTGTGCCGATAGCATCTGGCTTAGTCGTATAATCAAATAAATTGATTTCGGGGATCCCCAGGTAATCTCGGACTGCTGCTCACTCTGCTTGTATACATATGACTAGTGCCAGCGACGTAGGTGCAATGTCCGAAGAAGAGTCATTTGTAATTCTCGGGAGCTCTCCCTACCCATCGCTCTGCACCGACGGCTCTGTTCTTATTGCTGATGCAATGAATACTGGAGATGGACGAGTGACAGTGGCACAGGAGATCGATGTATCTGACGAACCTGCTGCTGTATCGAGCTCGGGGCCAATGTCCACATCTGTTGATAGTGACAGGCACAAGTCTCTGGCCGCAAGTTTCATCATGGGTGAAGTGAAATCGGATGTTCTCAAGGTAAGAATCTCTGTAGTCCCTTCTGCAAGATAACGGACACCTAACTCTTGTCTTTTAATTACAGAACAGCGTATATTCCCAGTTTCCCAGCCTCTGTTCGCTACAGGCGTCTGCCGAGGATGTGGTCAAGCTGCAACACATGATGGCGGAGTACGTTTCGTTGAAGAGTATGTAAAGCAAGAATATTTTTAAGAGCACAAATTTAATAATTTCCAAACCACTTCAATAGAAACTCTGGATATGGTCAATCGCACAATGCAGGACTACTACAAGCTGACTCAGCAATGGCGCCAGGAGGCAGACCACCAAGAGCAGCAATATAAACAGCAGCTAAAGGAGTGCCAGGAGCAGGTGGAAAAACTACGTGCAGAAAATCAAACGCTCAAGGCCGAACTGGAGACGAAGCTGGAGCAGATCGAGTTAGTGCAGGATATACGGCAGAAGGAGCAGGATGAGCTCAGACAAAGTGTTTCAGAGAAGACGTCACTGATCAACAATATGCGTGTGGAAATTGACAAGCTTCAGCAGATCAAGCTGGTATGTTGTCCCAAGCAATATTGGACTTTGTGCAGAGTCCACAGCTCCAGATATTAGCGTATATATGCACATATATGTATATACATACATATCATATGAGTACTTGCGAAACTATCTGTATTCGTAGTAAGAATTCACCCACAATGAAATTCATTTATCTTTGGGGTTTCACCCTGCTCTTGTAAATTGCAGAATTCCTTCGAGTTTGTACTGAAAGATAGCGAAAAGGCGGCGGAGATTGAAGTGAGCAATCCGCTGAACTATGTGCAGCGAGAAGAACATGATCGTCAGATCCGGGAACTGCAGCGAGAGCTGTCCAAAATATTGGCCGATAATCTGGAAGTGAACGATATGGTTTGTATTCCCAAATGCATGATCTCATGATGAGAACTTTTTTGTACATACTTAATGCGACTTATATTTTTAGAAAAAAGCATACATTCAGGAGATCGATTGCTTAAAGGTGAACTTGACAAGCGCCCAAGAACTTATGGACAAAATGCAGCGCGATATCAATCAGCTAATGGACAGGGATATCAAAAAACAGGAACAGATTGAGCATCTGCAGACACAAAACGAAATCTACCGGAGAGACTTTGAAATGGAGCGAGCGGATCGCGAGAAGAATGCTGGCGAAAAGGAACAGTATCTTTTGGATCTGCGGGCATTACAGAGGCGGAACCAGGAGTTGATTGAGGCTCTTGCCGAGTCCCACAAGTCCCCCAAATCCGGCTCCCCCTCCCGATCGAGCTCGGGCATAAGTAGTTTACGCGAGGACCAGAGACCAGTAAGAGTATGCAGCTACAGTCATGCCATTAAAACCTTTATACTCATATGATTATTTCTTCTATTAGGTACTAGATCCAACAGGCGCCGCCGCTAGGCCTTCGGACAGTACCCTGCGCTGTCCCATCTGCTCAAAGTCCTTCAATTCCTTGAGCGTATTGCAGAGTCATGTAAATGATTGTCTGGACAAGAACTAAGCCCTTTAACTAATCGTTTATTTATGGTATCACTTATTCTTACGCTTCAAACGGCACACTTTATAAAATAGCACATTATTTTATCAATTATAGTAGAAATCTATAATTGCAATAGAACTTCCTTCAGAGTTTGCTTTGTATGGGCGGCATTTCCAAAGACCACACCCGATGCACTTCCTGGCTGGCAACCAAATTGTTGAGGACTTTCACATCTGCAAAAGGCATACATACATTATATTATTCATTGATTAATTATTGCGTCATTGCGCTCACCGTTGGTTCGGGCGAATTGCTGCAGGGTGTTGCGTATATCACAAATGGGAATGGCTGTATTGATGTTCGGATAGATGACATCGTCCATCTTTATGTTCGAGACGCAAACACCCAGAATGTAGCCGTTGTGGTCGAACATTGGACCACCGCTTTGGCCGGCCTGCACGCTACCATCGGACATGATTGCTCCCTTGTCACAATTGATGATCCGACCTTGGAATATCGAGGGATTGAAGTCGTACTTGAAGTTAAAGTTCACATAGTAGGGAAAACCCGCGTTGTAAACGGTCTGGCCGAGTGTGGCCGGAGTCTTCGCCAGGCGCACGCAATGGCGTTCGGGCACATCGTCAGGCGCCGTCAGCAGGGCCAGGTCGTAGGGACGAGTAGAGTCCGGATTGCACCAGATCACATCCGACTGGAACTCGCGATCGGCTGCGCGACAGTGGACCTTGGCATTGGGCTAAGTGAGACGCATTTTAGATCTATAAGCGGACTATGAACCAAGAGTTTACCTGTCCCACAACGTGCGCACAGGTCAAGATGAAGTGCTTGTTGTGGACCTTAATAAAGGTGCCTGTACCTTGTTGACCCGACGAATCAATTACTACAATAGTGCGCTCCCCTTCAATGTAAATATATGCAATTATCACATCCGAAGCTAAACACCAGCTTAATGCATTTCTTACAGGCAAAACTCGAGGGCTCCCGTGTCAAGTTGAATGTTGTCGTTGGAATGCCCAGCTGCTCCATAAAATTCCTCAAGAGGTACCCAAAATTAGCGGCCAGAGTTAGGTTGACGTTTTCCTGCTGCCGCTGGAAAGAAGTACATATCACAATGCCAATCAGACGCCTAGAATAAATGGAAAATCTGTCAAATACTTCCAAAATATTCTGCACCGACTCAATCATATCATACAACTTGTTGTTAAACACGGCCGATCCCTCGCAGCCCAGCGGCAGGGCATTCGAGATGGCAAACAAGCAACCGCTGCGCCCCATCACGTTCGATACCTTTCCTATGCTGATGGTCTTGTAGAAGTTTTCAAGGCCAAAGGGCGAGCACATGACCAAAACATCGTCCAGAGTGTGAATGGGCTGCAAATGACGCAAATAGTTCCCAATGAGCACAAGGAAGCGCTCAAAATATTCTCTTTCCGACGACGGCCGCATGCTCAGGACCACGAAGCTTGAACGGAGCACCCAGTTATGATCCCCCGAATCCGCAGATAGAAGGATCTTATGTAGATTTCGAGACACTTCTGAGGCGCAGAAGACATACAGAGGATGTAGCGTGTAGCGAGTGAGGATGTGGCGCCTCGAGCTGGCGGCAACATTTCGCTGTGGCCGTTGACTTTGGCGGTCAAAGGTCACCAGGAAATTGAGCGAACGTATAAATTTTCCTGCCCGGCTCTCTTCATCCTGGGCATTGATAAGCTGGCACTGCTGGAGACCATTGATGATTCCATTGTACGCCTGGTCTGTGTCTCCATCGGTCCCCACACGGCAGTGGGGCTGTAGAACACTCGCCGAGCTGATAATAATCTCATTGTTGATTATGATGGCAGACTGCTTTGTGGCTGGTGGATTAGTTATCTCGAGCAGGGCGTGGCGTATTTTGAGCAACATTATCTGGCGGTTTAGAGGCTCTTTAGCCGATCCCCGTAATATAGTTTTACAAGAGGTCGAATTCTTACCAGTTCTTTTCAGCAATTTACTGAAGCAACATGTTTCACGAATTGCTATTAGCCTTCGTTACCGATATAAGCGAGGAGGAACTTTTGCATGCAGAGAATCATGTCACTCGACATGTTCAATCGAAAACAGAACCCAATTAAATCAACCAAAACAAAGGCGCTTTGTTGTGCAGTTGAGACTTGCCATTCACAGCAACACGTTGCAACAGATGTTTGCCGACAGCTGTTCGCTGCCAAACAGCTCAATCTAACCTCAATCAACTTTTATTGCGAGCAAAAATTTGAATTTTGTGCACTTTTGCATAATGTTGCAATTAAGATGGAGTTTGCTAAGGCCTCTCCAAGGCGTCTGCCGCAACCCTCGGCGGTACTTCGCGCACAAGAACCTCCTGGAGCTGACGGATCGAGGGTTCTTTCAAGGCATTTTCCCCGATACGGCTGCGTAAGTTGTATCACCCCTTGGAGTCGCGCTTATAATCGCCTTTTAATGTATGAAAATTTTTTTCCGTCAGGCCCAAGATAAAGCAGCTATTCACCAGCGGCCAGCAGAGCATATATGCCGGTTTCGATCCTACTGCGGATAGCCTACACGTGGGAAATCTCTTGGTTATCATGGGCCTGCTTCACTGCCAGCGAGCCGGTCACAGGCCCATTGCTCTAGTGGGTGGAGCCACTGGGCTAATCGGTGATCCAAGTGGACGCAAAACGGAACGCAATCAATTGGGAGAGTCTATAATCGAGAGCAACCTGAAAGCCATCGAGCAGCAGCTGACGAGAGTGTTTGAGAACCATGAAAAGTGCCTCTGGGACAACCGTAAAAACAGCACTCCTCTGCAGCCATTAACGTAAGAGAAGAGACAAAAGTCAAAACGATCATAACGGCCTTTTTATTCCTAACAGGATAGTCAACAATGCTGAATGGTACGCCAATCTCCACCTGATAGACTTCATTGCCAACATGGGCCGACACTTTCGCATGGGTTCAATGCTGTCTCGGTCGTCGGTCCAATCGCGCCTAGAGTCGGAGGATGGCATGAGCTTCACGGAGTTCACCTACCAGATATTCCAGGCCTACGACTGGCTCCATTTGCTGCGCAAGCACAACTGTTGTTTCCAAATGGGCGGCTCCGACCAGACGGGCAATCTGATGACCGGCCACGAGCTAATCAGCCGTGTGGAGCGCAAACGAGAGGTGTTTGGGATGACCCTGCCCATAGTGACCAACGAGGAGGGGGACAAATTTGGAAAGTCGGCGGGCAATGCTGTGTGGCTGGACGAGAACAAGACATCGCCCTTTGCCCTGTATCAGTTCTTTCTGCGAATGCCAGACTCCGAAGCAGAGAAGCTGCTGAAACTGTTCACCTTCATTCCCCTACCCGAAATAGAGCAGCTGATGCAGGAGCACGAAAAGGAGCCGGAGAAGAGAAAGGCCCAGACGCTGCTGGCGGAGGATGTGACATTGCTTGTGCATGGCGGTTCGTTCCCCTTAGACGATTGAAATTTCGATTCTTCCAATCGATTTTTTATGACTGATTCGTTTCAATTTTTCAGAAAATGGACTAAAGCAGGCTGAGCGTGTTACCAATGCACTGTACAAAGGGAAGGTGGATGGCTTGGCCGAACTGAATTATGCCGAGATAAAGCAGACGTTCCAGGGAGCCGCTGTAGTGGATCTACTGACAGAGCCGGGAATGTCCATACTGCAGCTGGCCATGAAGGCGAAGTGTTTCCCTACAGAGAGTGAGTATTCGCCAACAAACAGAAGAAAAAGACAGACTGCTTATTAAGTGAACCCCATTTCATAGCCGATGCAGTTCGTATTATAAACGCTGGAGGCTTCTATGTCAACCAGAAGCGAGTACAGAACATTGCCGAAGTGATAACTGCGGGCATACACATACTCCGAAATGGCGTTTCCCTGCTGCGGGTTGGAAAGCGGAACTTCTACATAGTGCGCTGGCAATAGTTCATTCGATTTGTCCGCTGTTTTGTGTTAAATAATCATAGGGTTTATCTATATTTAGGTAGTCTTATACAAGGGGAGTGTGTACATTAGTTAGGTGGGTCTGGGAGCGGGCTTGCGCCAGCGCTTGCGCGCCAGAAACTCCTTGGCCTTCTCCTTCTTCAGGTCCTTGTCGTAGAACTTGCCGCTCTTCGTGAACGTCTTCTGCTCGTTACGCATCTCGGCCAGCTTGCGGTTCTTCTGTTTGATTATGTTCTTCTTGTTGGCCGACTTCTTCTTGCCAGCCTCGGATATCTGGACCTTGATGCGACGACCCTGGAGCTCTGTATTGTGCAGCTCAAAGCCGCGCTGGAAGCTGGCCAAGTCCATCATCTCTACAAAGGCAAAGCCACCGCGACGTTTCTTCGGGATTCTAATGGACTTCACCAAACCAATTGCTTCAAAGTGTCTCTCTAAATCGTCTTTTGTCGTCTCAAAGTTGAGATTTGTGACGTACAAAACATGTCTGTTTGTTTTCGATGCTCCCCTGAGCAAAGACTCCAACTGATCCTTGGTTAGCCGACCATCCGAAGGAGTTTCTGGTTCCGACTCGGACTCGGAGGCCGCACTGCCAGAGGGTGCTGCGCCCTCGACATCGGAGAGCTCTTGTTCATCAGCCTCACTGTCCTCGGGATCACTTGGATTTCTGCCATCCTCCTTGTGCACGTACGTTCCATCGAGTATTTCCTTTCGTTTCTCGTCGTCAAAGTTTCCCAGCAGATCGGCACTGTCATCGTTGACCGCCCGACGCACACGTTTAGGCTTTATAAACGCTTCCACCTCATAATCACTGCCAGAATCGCTGGCCATCGTTCCAAATGTTTAAAATTATTTATACCAACACGTGTGGTTTCAATGTGAATGGCAATTAATGGTCAAGTGCTTCGAAATTTATCTTAATATAAAAATATGGATTTTGCAGCACTGGACTTATTGGCGGCACAATTTAATTCAATTCAACTGTTTGATCTAATCTTGTATTTTGGAGGTCAACTGGCTGCAGCGGCAAAGCTAAGTTTTGTATAATAAGAACCGGTTCAATTTTGCGGGAGCCAAAACGGACAGATAGCGGAGTTATCTACTAATTATGCAAATATATTTTTGATAACAAATAAATAGCAATTTATTTGCGTTATGCTGTGTACCGTACCGGTTTGCACTTATCAAAGTTTTTCAAGTTGCTCGTGTACCCAAATCAATCTAGCGTATGATGAGCATCCAGGTAAAACGAGAATATTCCGCAGATTACCATAGATTAGTTCCTGGGACTTGACCAATAATTAATGCCTGTCACACGCCTTGTGCAAAATGACTGCATCAATGTTTTGTTAAATTAAGACAAAAGTCTATTTAAATCCAGTTATGAGGAAATTTATACGCTTCGTTAGGCTGCCCTGCCGGCTGCTGCGCCGCCGTAGTCGTCAGGTCAGTCGCGAAATGTCAAGAAATCAGTATATAAACGACTATTTTGGATGGCATTAGTTAGATTTGTTTCGCACTCTGTCAGCATACATATCCTTATCCAACATGAAGTTCGTGGTAAGTGAGGATCTCGAAAGATTTAAAAGGAATATCCTTTATTACAGTGTTCTTTTCCAGATTGTTCTCGCCTGCCTTCTGGCCCTCGCCTATGCCAACGAAGAGGCTGATGTCCTGAAGAGCGATTCCGAAGTAAACGTTGAGGACTTCAAATATGCGTATGAACTCTCCAACCATATTAAGGCTATCCAGTCAGGTGTGCTGAAGGAACATGACAACTGGGTTGTCTCTGGCGAATACGAATATGTGGCTCCCAATGGCCAGCTGGTCAAGGTTGTCTACACTGCTGATGAAACCGGCTATCACCCAAAGGTCGTCGAGGCATAAGCTCCTAAACAATTCATTCCTAAAATAAAGTCAAACGTATAGCAGAAAATAGTTCGTTGCAATTCCCTTTTGAAATGTTCAATGCGAATGGCAATCTTCTTCTTCAGTTTTCAGTGTTACCAAATTTCATTCAAATTCTCTCCGGAGCAGAAATCAAATGCGTTTTCGCGTTTTTGTGCTAAAACTATTCCAAACAATTTGAAAAAATTAAGTCATGGCTTCGGAGTCCGCTGCCATGGACATTTTGGACAGCGCAGAAGCATCTTTGAATGTGGCTCCGACCGCTTTGGTGAAGAAGGAAAGAAAGGTGCAGCCGGCAAGCGACGAGACAACACTGGAGAAAAAAGCAAAAATGGAAATAGATGCGGAAATGAAGGACTTGACTAATGACAGTCCCAATTCAAGAAAGTCTCAAGAAAAGGATCCAGAGGCACTTGAGGACGCCAAGGATCCCGAAGCTGACAGTAGCATTGAGTTGCTGTGTAGCCCTACTCCCGCAGAGGCTACAGATGTAGATGCAATGGCCTCAAAAACCGAATCGGACAACAGCGTGGAGCTCCTCGAAAGCCCCCTCAAATCGCCTTCCTCAAACGATGTTAACGATGAAGAGTTGTTGCCACTTGAAGAGAAGGAAAAACCAGGCCCCGCAAAGGAGTTGGAGCCAAAAGAAAGTGAACCCGACAGCAAGGAAAGCAGCAAAAGTGAAGCGTTGGCTGACAGCAGCATTGAACTAATAAGCAGTCCCACTTCGGATGATTCGCTTGCAAAGGAGAAGGAGGTGGAGGTGAAGGAGGAACACGGACAGCAAGCTGAAGCTCAGGTGCTGCAAGAGATTCCACGGAAAGCTGACGACAGTTTCAAACTGCAGGATGATATAGCTATGGAAGAAGATGTACCAGTTCCAAGATCGAAAGCAATGCAAGAATCCAAGGAAACCCAAAAAACTACAACTAAGCTGGAGCCGCTTGTCGATTCCATCAAGGATGCAATAGAAGGTGAGCCAAAAGATAAACGAAATAATAATGTAGATTCAATGGAAATCGATGAATCACACATTGAATCCGCCAAAAAATCCGACAACGAAATTCTCGCGGTAGATCTAGAAATAGGTAGCCCTCCAAAAGAAGCTGAGGAAAAGTCTAAAAGCGACTTTGCCTGGGATGGGAGGATCTCTTACAACAAAGATTGCATCAACTGCAACTGCAAGCGGCTAAAGAAGCAGTATGTGCTGGCGTGCGTGGCTATTCTGAACTTCTACAAGGTCCCGAGGAAGTTGAAAAGGTCGCAGTACGTTTGCCTGGACTGCTACGACACGGCCGTGGAAATGTACGAGGTGAGGCAGCTGCTAGTTCTGCTGGTGGATCATAGTTTTTATAGAATATTTATTTTTTCAGGAATATGCTGGACTGCTGTTGGCAAAGCAACCGCTGCTGCTGAGGGAATTTAAGCAGGAGCAGGCTGATTTTGTGACCCTGGACAGCAGCGACGAGGAGGAGGACGAAAAGACACCAGGTGAAGCCATCCAACGACTTCCAGAAGCCCAGATTTTAATATTAATTTATTGCAGAAAAACCCGAGTTTTCCAAAAATGTTTTGGATCTGATCGAGAACGAACTGGAAGATGCCATTAAGAAGACGCTGAATAAGGTGGAATTTTCAAATCAATTCAACTGGTCCAAAACTATCCTTCAAGCCAAAATTGAGCGATTGGCAAAGCAGTTCGAGGAGGTGGATTTACAGCTGGCCCAGGTCCAAGGCTTGGCTGACAAAATGCACTGCTCCGTGTACAACTCATGTCAGGTGGTTCACAAACAATTGCCTCCTCTGGATCTCCATCAAAATATCTGCCCTAGTGATTATAAAGTAAGTTAATTCCGGAATAAGAAGAATTTGATAGATTGGATTTTTTTATTGGATATTTTAGCGCCTGCAGCAACTGCCAGCTGCTGGTGATATCGTACGGCCCCCGATCAAAATTGGGGAGACCTACTACGCCGTCAAGAACAAGGCCATTGCTAGCTGGGTATCTGTAAGTGTGATGGAGATCTGCGACACCACCACCGGCGGAGGTGTCACCGTGAAGGCCTATAAGATCAAGTATCAGCACATGCCATATCCGATGATGAAGACGGTGGCGGCCAAGCACTTGGCCTATTTTGATCCGCCGACAGTGCGTCTGCCCATCGGTAAGTGGGTGCAGCTGATAATCTTCAGTTCTAGCAGATAAATTAACTGTTTTCTCTTTCGGCTAGGTACACGCGTGATCGCATTCTTTGATGGCACATTGGTAGGTGGCAAAGAGAAGGGCGTGGTGCAGAGTGCTTTCTATCCGGGCATCATCGCCGAGCCCCTGAAGCAAAACAATCGCTTTCGCTACCTGATATTTTACGACGACGGCTACACCCAGTATGTGCATCACAGCGATGTACGTCTGGTGTGCCAGGCATCCGAAAAGGTGTGGGAGGATGTACATCCCGCCTCGCGCGATTTTATCCAGAAGTACGTGGAGAGATATGCGGTGGATAGGCCCATGGTGCAATGCACCAAAGGACAAAGCATGAACACCGAGTCGAACGGCACCTGGCTGTACGCCCGAGTCATTGAAGTCGACTGCAGCCTGGTGCTGATGCAGTTCGAGGCTGACAAGAACCACACGGAATGGATCTATCGCGGCTCGCTGCGCCTGGCTCCCGTCTTCAAGGAGACCCAGAATTCTCTGAATGCCGACTGTGCCATCCACCAGATGAGGGTCCCAAGGGTAAGTTTGACTTTTATTACTAATTGGTGTGTATCTCACAAAATTCGGGAAATTCCAGCGCACGGAACCGTTCATACGTTACACCAAGGAGATGGAGTCCAGCAACATGCAGGTGGATCAACAGATACGTGCCATAGCCCGCAAAAGCACTTCGAAGTCAGGTTCGCCTGCATCAACTGCAGCACCTCCAACTGGATCATCCTCATCCTCCGCTGTCCGTCACCTGAACAACTCCACCATTTACGTGGACGATGACACCCGTCCCAAGGGTCAGGTGGTGCACTTCACGGCAAAGCGTAATATGCCGCCGAAGATATTCAAGAGCCACAAATGCAATCCGGGCTGTCCCTTCCCGATGATGCACCGTTTGGACAGCTACAGTCCGCTGTCCAAGCCACTGCTGTCAGGATGGGAGCGCATGTTTATGAAGCAGAAGACCAAGCGGACTGTCGTCTATCGCGGTCCGTGTGGCCGGAATCTGCGCAACATGGCCGAAGTGCACACCTATCTGCGGCTAACCAATAATGTCCTGAATGTAGACAACTTTGATTTCACTCCCGATCTGCGCTGCCTGGCCGAATACTACATAGAATCGACCATCGTCAAGGAGGCGGACATCTCCAAGGGGCAGGAGAAGATGGCGATTCCTCTAGTCAACTACTACGACAACACACTGCCGCCGCCCTGCGAATATGCCAAACAGCGCATTCCAACCGAGGGCGTGAACCTGAATCTCGACGAGGAGTTCCTTGTGTGCTGCGATTGTGAGGATGATTGTTCGGTAAGTTCAAATCAAATTCAGTTTGAGTGAGAGGCAATCATAATTGAGATGTTTACTTTGCAGGACAAAGAGTCGTGCGCCTGCTGGCAGCTGACCGTGACCGGCGTCAGGTACTGCAATCCCAAGAAGCCCATTGAAGAGATCGGTTACCAGTACAAGCGTCTGCACGAGGGCGTACTGACGGGCATCTACGAGTGCAACTCACGCTGTAAATGTAAGAAGAATTGCTTGAACCGCGTGGTCCAGCACTCGCTGGAGATGAAGCTGCAGGTATTCAAAACCTCCAACCGTGGCTGGGGACTACGCTGTGTCAACGACATTCCCAAAGGCGCCTTCGTGTGCATCTATGCCGGTCACTTGCTGACGGAGGCGAAGGCCAATGAGGGCGGTCAGGATGCGGGGGACGAATACTTTGCCGATCTCGACTACATTGAGGTGGCCGAGCAGCTGAAGGAGGGCTATGAGTCGGACGTGGAGCGCGCGGATCTGGACCACGAAGATGACAACTACGGCCCCGATGCAGAGGACGACGATGACTTTCGACCCAACAACTATTATCAGAAGAAGAAGGAAAAGCTGCGCTCCTCACGCAGCAACAGCAGCAGCACGCAGAACACCGAATTGGACTCGCAAGAACGGACAGTAATTAGCTTCAATCCAAACACTGATCTGGATGAAACAGTGCGTGAAAACTCTGTGCGCCGCTTCTTTGGCAAAGACCAGACCCCCTTCATCATGGACGCGAAGACAACTGGCAATTTGGGACGCTACTTCAATGTGAGTTTTGTTGAGCCGAGTTACATGTAATTATCTTCAATTAATGCTTGTTCCCCTGCTCTTGCAGCATTCGTGCAGCCCCAATCTGTTTGTTCAGAATGTCTTTGTGGATACCCACGATCTGCGTTTCCCCTGGGTCGGCTTCTTCGCGTCCTCGCACATTCGCTCTGGCACAGAGCTGACCTGGAACTACAACTACGAGGTAGGCGTGGTCCCCAACAAGGTTCTCTATTGCCAGTGCGGTGCCCAGAACTGTCGAGTGCGTCTGCTCTAGTTTAGTTTCAAGCTCCAACATAATATAAAATAAACAATTTAAAAGATTTTTTTTATTATTCTCTCTCTTAAATACCGCTTCACTGCATCACTTTCCTACATTTGTTCCTCTGTATCGAGTTCAAATTTCACTTTGGCGAAGGTCTAGCGAAATGAATATTATAGAATTGGAGAAATTTTTGTCCTCTTAGGCTCCAATGAATGCTGTTTTAAAGCTATTTCACCGAAATATTGTTTTCTATGGTCTGCTTAGAAATACCGAGTATAAGTATGCATCAACCGCATCAATAGGTAAAAAAACATGTCAATACGAGAAAAAATCATTACCAATCAAGTTTCAAAGAAGCTGGAAAAACAGAATTTAGCTTTTCGTCTTTCGCGCCTTTTTTATTTTACAAAAAATGTTTAAAACGTACACATTTGCCCTTCAGGTGTCGCTATATTTACATACAAATATAGTAAAAGGCGTGTAGATAGCGTGTAGCAACCATGTACAACAAATTAATTTTGGTGAAATTGTGGCTGACCGTTTCGCTTAAACCTTATTTAATAAGCAATCCAAAAAATATGAGAACTTAAAAACAGTCAGTCTCTTAGGAAACTGATATATTAACCGAATAAAATTATTTCTTCAAGGCTGATGGACGTAGCTAACTAGTTATTTTCAACCGAATATCAAAGTCGAGGAATATGATGGAATACGAACACAAATAATTAGTCAGTATATTTACGGTATATTGTTGAACTCTGACGTATTTTCGGTATATTTCTTATAGATAAGTAAACGGTCACACTGCCACCAAAAGGGTGCGGGGTGTTGCTGCGCTTGTAAAAGACAAAAAAAAAACTAAATTTAAGAAGTGTATTCGTTTTCAATTGCAATTAAATGTTAAATGTAGGCCTGAAATGCGCGAAGAAATACTGTAGGTGGCTAGAGCATCTGCCCACGCGTATGCAACCCGTGGTTGACAAAATACAAGCGTTTGAACACTCGCTCTTCGAGAGTTCGTTTCCGTTCCGCCCTCGTCAATAGGAGAAAAATCGATTTTGTGATAACAGACTTTACGCTTACGCGTTCTCGTGCCCTGCTCTCGTTCTGCAGCTTAACTCTTGAATAACAGTAAGAAAATTTGGTCAAAATGAATTTGGATTTTGCCAAGGTGTGCAGTAAGCACATCGGCATCTACGAAGCTTACTACAAACAGGTAAGGACGCCCAGGCGTGGTGAAGCAGAGCGAGAATGTGGCTTGGGTCGTTTTTTTTTTGCAACCCCCTATTGATTTTTGCAGATTGACCCGAAAGGCACTGGAGCCATCGAGGCCATGACTGCGGCCAAGTTTCTCAAGAGGTCCGGCCTCAGCGATGTGGTGCTCAGTCGGATCTGGGATCTGTCCGATCCAAATGGGAAGGGCTTCCTTGACAAGCCCGGTTTCTTTGTGGCCCTGAAGCTAGTCTCGCTCTCTCAGGCGGGACAGGTGGCCAACATGAACAACATCTATGTGGACACCGTCAACCCTCCGAAAGTGGTGAGTAAATCGGCATACACCTTGCACCAGTTACACAATAGCCACGAACTTATGTGTGTCATACAATATGACCTTTTTCTCAGGGTGAATTACCAAAAACGGTGCCCGCTCGCATTCAAACAGGTCCCGTCGCGAGCGGAGGCGCGGCCACCGGCGACTGGACAATCAGTGTCATCGATCGGCTTAAGTACGAGCAGCTTTTCCAGTCGCTCCGTCCCCACGATGGCATGCTGCCCGGCGACAAGGTGAAAGGCGTGCTTATGGAGTCCAAGCTACCGATGAACATCCTCGGCACCATCTGGGACCTGGCTGATCAGGACAAGGACGGCAATTTGGACAAGCACGAATTTATCGTGGCCATGCATCTCGTCTATCAGACGCTCCAGAAGCGCACCGTGCCCAGTGTCCTACCACCCGAGCTACGGAAGCCCGGTGGCACTGGGCCGCCACCCAAACCTGCCATGCCTCCACCACCAGCTGGCGCTCCCATGCCGCGTGCCCCCAGCGGTGAGGGGTTCGGCGATAGTGGCTTCGTCGCCAACTTCCCCAAGGACATTGCCCCGCCGGCGGCAATTCCTATGCCCATAGCCGTGCCGCCCATGACTCGCATTCCGCCCGTGGGCGCGGTCAGTTCCCAGCCTCTGATCCAGACCGATCCGCTCATACCAATCGGCGCCCCGGTGACGGCCAATGCAGACTGGGTGGTGACTGCCTCCGAGCTGAACCGATTCGAGGAGATATTCCGACAGTCGGATCTGGACAAGGACGGCCTGGTCTCTGGCCTCGAGGTGAAGGACATTTTCATAAAGTCGGGTATACCACAACGCAGTCTGGCAGACATCTGGTGAGGATTGGATTTCAGCTGTTAACCGTTTCCGATGGAAGCTAGACTTAACCTTTCATTTCGGTTCGCATTCAGGGCGCTGTGCGACACCAATCAATCGGGTAAGTTGACTGTGGAGCAGTTCGCCCTGGCCATGTGGTTCGTCGAGCGGAAGCAGCGTGGCGTGGATCCGCCGCATGTACTGACCGCCAACATGGTGCCGCCATCAATGCGCTCGACTGTATCGGGCGTGGACATGCAGCTGCAGGAGACGAAGCCCACATACTCCAATCCCGAGCTGGAGATGATCTCCAAGGAGATCGAGGAGCTGGCTCGCGAAAGACGTGTGCTCGAGACGGAGATCGCCCAAAAGGAAGCTGACGTGCGCATCAAGAACGGGGAAGTCCGCAGCCTGCAGGTAAGTGAATCCTGCAGATTCGATTCCACAATCAACTGCATTTGCAATTGCAGAGCGAACTGGACACCTTGACGGCCACACTGAAGCAGCTGGAGAATCAGCGGGGAGAGGCCCAGAAGCGTCTGGACGATCTGCAGGCTCAAGTAGTTATTTTGCATGCATCTTTGCCTTAAGGCCGCTGCTTCACTTTGCTTGCTCTTTTGGGTTAACCTTTTAATTTTTAATTTGAACTCTGATTTCCCTTTCTTTGTCATGGTTCCTACGAACTCCAAACTCTACACTCCACACCCTGCTAACAAATTGGCTAAACGCATAACGAAACCCCTACTAAATCGGTGAATGCACTTAAAAACTTATCCACAAAACTTATTCGATTCGATTTCATAAGGTTAACCAAATTACGGCCGTGTTGGCCAACGTAAGTCTTGATATATCCTCCACCAACAGCCAGGTTTGTTTCAGTTTCTCCACTTTTTTATGTTATTTTTTTTATGGTGTTCATGTTTATTATACATATGTATATGAATATTTGTTGGCCTGAATGTTATGCACAATTTTGGCTACAGCCGCAAGCATCCGTCGCTCATCGAAGTCGCATTTCCAAATGTCTTTTTGTAGGTGAACAAGATACGGGATCAGTGCCAGAAGCAGGAGGAGACCATCAACGAACAGGAGGGCGAGCTCAATGCCAAGCGCTCCGAGCTGCAGAAGCTCAAGGATGAGGAATCGTCTTTGCAGAAGGAGTACGACGACAATAATCGCGAGCTCTCCAAGCTGACCAAGCATCTGCAGAATACGCAGCTCCAAATTAGCTCGGTAAGTGGGGTACATTCCTTGGGGTTGCCTTGGGCTTACGCTTTCCTCATCGAAAGGTGCGTTCTATGGTCACTCAATTAATGGAGACCCAGCGCCAGATGACCGATGCGCTGCTCATCTGTCGCGCCGCCATGGAGACCCAGAACGCGGAGCTAGTCTCCGAGTACCAGCTTAAGATCGAGCCGGACTTTGATGACGCTCGCAAGACACTCTACAAGGAGATCGAGATGCCCAAGGACGATCCCTTCGACGAGAACAACAGCGGAGCGGCCAATCAAGCCAAGCAGTCGACCAACGGCTTTGGCAACGATCCCTTTAGCGGCCAGGTCAGCAAGCCAGCCATCAATGCCGGCTTCGATGACAGCTTCACGATGAGCTCCGGCTTTGACAGTGGCTTCGATGCGTTTGGACAGAGCGGAACTGGCTCTTCTATGGGCTTTGGCCAGAGCGTAACAGGATCAGCAACTGGTTTTGGTCAAACGCAACGCGATCCCTTCGGTGCCGACGCTTTCGGGGGCAGCAAAAGCAGCGCCATAACACCGGAGGTAAGGCCGGGCAATGGGTTTAGAGGGAAGCCCGACGACTCACCCCCCGATCATGCATTACAGCCTGGGAAGGACGACTTTGGAAGCGATCCGTTTGCCTCTCTGCATGCACCCACTGGCCAGGGTCAGGTGCTCAGCCCGAACGCACAGAGGTCAGGCCCACCACCACGACCGGAGTCGCCTAGTCCAGCATTGCCGCCAAAGAAATCCAAGATGCCGCCACCCAGACCAGCCCCGCCACGAGCATCCCAGGTAAGGCACAGGACATGAGTGTCTAAGAGGATTACTAATTCCTGTTCCTTTTTTCCCCACAGCCAACGAGTGGTTTTGGCGGAGGCGGCGGGGGAGGAGGCTTCGCTGACTTTGAAGACTTTGACAATAAGGTTGGTACCCAATTCAGTGTTCGCTGGGATCGGTGGTAATGCATGCACACCGTTCACTACCACTTGTATTTATAGTATGGCTAATCCGATTTGGTTTCCAATTACGATTATTTACTAACATTTCTTATGTTTTTTTGTGTAGTTTAGAAATAAATTTTTGTTTGGAAGCACGCACTCACAAAAAGTAGAACTTTGATTATTTGTATTGGTTTTACTTTGTTTATTGTACACTTGATTTGTTGCTTAACGGTAATTGCCAGCCCCTCCACATCGTACACCCCGTGAACCCACGTCCCCCAGTAGTCGATGGCTTTGGCTTGCCTTTGGTTTGGTTCCGTTCCCAAGTGCTGCTCGTATAAAACTAACCGTCTGGTCTCTCTCTCTCTCTCATCTCTTGCAATTCTTTACTTTCAGTGAACATCTTAAAAATAATCACATTTCTATAATGCATATATCTGATATACATATATACCAGTACTAACACACACACACACACACATACTCAGTTAATGGGAGGGCCTCCTCCTCTAGCAGCATTGCAAATCGATTTGAAGCGTACAAAAGCTAATGGCGAACCACATACATATAATATTTACACCTAACCTAAACATACTCGTACTCCTGCATCAGTACGCGAGTACAGACTTATCAATCATGCCTATAATTAGCTAAATGTACTAAATCAATTCAAAAACTCAAGCAAATTCCAAGCGTTACGTCTCGTTGTGTTATAAATGTAGTCACAAGAAAAAAAAACAAAAACAAAAGAAAGAAACGAAATGAAATGAAATGGATAAACGTAGCTCTATTCAAAGTTCGATTCCGAAACGTTGTGCAATATATTGTATTTAACTTAATATTACGATTATGTTATGGAGATTTCCCTCGAATTTTTTAAATACCGAATCTTAACTGGAGAACATCTAATCATATTTTCTTGGATGGTTTGTTTTTTTTGCTAGTCAAGAGAAGGATCTCTCTAAAGGGAATTTAAATGCAAGTTGTTTGTTGTTTCTGCATATGAGAATACTAACGTTTATAGCCATACCACATATAGCATATATTGACAACATTTTACATCGTAAACTCATATAAAATACAATATATAAGTATTATGGATTATGGATGTAACTGCCGCAGAATATGATAGTTTGAATTTTATGGGGGAGGGGCCATCAGACTCCGGAGTTGGCTGCCCGCCCCACTACTATTAACTGATACTGCATCAGATACAAATTTAAACATACATGCTATACATAGAAATCAATGCGGTTTAGCTTAGCCTCCAAATATTCAACTATATATTTGTCAGATTTTGATTATAATAAAGCCCCCACACACATACACTTCCCGTAAGCTTCCCGTGCATTGATTTTTCTGTGCATCACACGGCTCCGTACATAGAATATACATACATATATCCATATACACATGCGTACTTATAAAGAGGAGCGGCAAACCTAACCCAAAATACACACAATGTAACAGACAAAACGTTTTGCATTATAAATAAAGAGAAATATCTATGTTCGACATCATTCCACGTACGTCAGAGAGAGAGTTCTATTGGGAAGGACATGACCGGCTCCCCGGTTTCTGATTATGGTAATGCTAATGGTCGTGGTCCTCATCCACCTTTGCGATGTGTGCTTCAATGCTTTCGTTTGACTTTTGTGCTTATGGTTTCCCCCTTTTTTTTACTGTATAATCTCTTTGCTTATAAGTTAGACTCGATTTGAATTGATTTTAATTTGATTTACTTTTAATTTATTTGATTTTTACCCCTCACACACTCATACCACATCCCCGCAAACAAACGTACAGCTCCAGAACATTCCCAGCACGCCCACGCCCATGGCCACGGCCACCCCTATTCCAACGATCAATGCCTCGCTGCTGGACAGCTTCTCCCTGTTCGATGATGCAGCCTCAGGCTCCAAGGCTGCCAGCACACCTCTGCACCCCTTGCTAGCGTCATCCTCATCCACGTCAACAGCGTCCACAATTCCCACCGTCAGCAGCACCAGCACCATGTCCACCACCTCAAATAACCAACACTTGTCGCGTTCCAACACACCGCTGCAGACGCAAGTCACAACGGGATTGGGAATCGGAGCATTAGCAACGACAGGAAGCTTGGGCCTGGAAGCGAGTCTTTTTGATGCCTTTGGCGGCGGCAAAGGAAACGTCAATGCGAAAACACCAACGCCAGGCCTCATCACGGGGCCCACAGACTTTAAGGATGATCCGTTCAAGGACTACCGCTATGAAGATCCGTTCAGCATCAAAGATCCCTTTGCCGACGATGATCAGGAGGAGGATGTTGGTACCAAGGGCGAGGCCCATAAAAAGAACTTTGCGGAGGACTTTAGCTCAGAGGGTGCGTACGCAAATTGGTTTTTTCAGCTCAGGATAATCTCATCATGATAGAATTTTCATATTTCAGATGATATGGGAACCGGCGCCGTCAAGACCCTCAACAACATGAAAGGCATGAGCATCAATAACAACACGAAACCGAGAGCCGTAACACCCTTGAACAACGATATCATGCAGCAGTTCGATGCATTCAATCTGAACGCGAGTCCGGCCCCATCCTCGCACCACTCGAATGCCTCACAGAACCACAAAAAGTCCCAGACGGCGCTGGATGCGTTTGCGGACTTTGATGACTTTGGATCGGACACAGCTGGAACTACAGCCACAACAACAACAACAACGACGACAACCGCTAAGAAACTCAACGATTCCTTCTTCGATGCATTTAATGACAACTTTAAGCTTAACGACACCACAACCACAGCCACAGGAACAATGCCGACATCGGTAACAAAAGCTTTGGCCAGCGAACAAATCAGTACGAGCAGGACGTCATTCGATGCCTTTGCCGTTAGTAGTGACGCCTTCAATGACAACTTCGAGGACAGCTTTGGTGGAAGCAAGCCGACCAATTCCACCCAACTGGACAACAATTTTGCCAAATTCGAGGCCTTCGATGTCCATAACTTCTCGAGTGACTTTGGCAAGGGCTTCCCGGAGGGCAAGCAGAATGGCGGGGCCAAGAAGGAACAAACTAAGGATAGGTACGCGGCGGACTACTCAAAGCCGGAGAGCTTTGACGCTGACCTGGAAGAGGCGCTCAAGCGCAGTATGCTGGACAATTAACAACTGAGAAGGCGAGCGCGAAACGAAACAGACGTGTGTGATCGAACAATTTGAAATCTCCAATTAAGTGCATATAATGTTCTATACGACACCATTTAATAACTACTATTTATGATCGTTTGATTTAGGCTTCGAACCTTCGAGCTTCAAGCACTTTTTCTGTACCTCTTCTGGGCTCAAGGATTTGCTTGATTTGATTTTTGAATCGCACGTCTGCCGTGTAGGATGAGAAACGTTGGTATTACTGCATATCTATAAGCTCTTTAAGTACGTTCACATATTCGTCTACATAAATTTATAAAATTACCAGTAATCATATACTCCTAGACCCTAAAAACATTATGATTTAACCTGTACCAAAAGTCTATGAATAATAAACGAATGAAACGACATCATCATCATCATCTGCAGCCGCAGTTTTGGTGCTGCCACTCTCACCAATACCAATGCAAATGCTTGCGTAGCCGTAGCCGCGCTCAATCTGCGGTCTGCCTTTTGCGATTCGTTTCGTTACGCTGCTCCAGGTTCTCTTCCACATCACATTTACTTTTCCGAGTTTGCAGCGAGCGGTCATAGAAATTTTGTGAGTGTTGTGCGCTTAAACAAATGTGAAATAATAATAATCTTCAAAGTGGAGGGATGAGGGTGATCAAACGCTAACAACCAAGTCCCCCCTACATACACACACATATGTAACATGTATTCTGCTGCATTAGCGCTACAAAAACAAGAGGGGAAGACAGACTTCGGTCCGCCGAACATTTGATACCCTGACAGATCCAACAGCACTGCGCGCTGTATAAATGTAGCTGGAATAACAAGGTTTTGTGCAGCGATTCATTGAAACACGGCTACAAAAGCTGATCAATAAAATGCATATAGGTTTTTAGGGTAAGAATGTTATGTGCAACCGCAAACGTCTGCCCAAGATAGTATCCTCTTCAAGGGTATTACAACCTGCCGGCAAACAAACTTAGATATGTACGAAGCGAAAGAGAGAGAGCCAACAAGAGAGACACACATAAAAAAGGCACGATCTGCGCTGTTCCAACATCTGTACTTTTGCCCGTGTCTATTTGATTGCGTGTGCGTGTGTGTGTGCTTGGGCCGCTAATTACATTTGTTTTGTAAATTTAATTTCCCAGCGAAGGGGATATTGTGGGGGGTACATAGGTATGTATGTGTGTGGAGACCAGCGATAACTGGACTGTCAGTACAATTCCTTCAGGAGTGTCGTCTGATAGTGACTTATCTTACATATATGTACATATGTACGTATGTATGTTCAAATGTTTATGTAGTTGCATGGTTATCTGATATTCCCGAGGGTAAGAGTGTTGGTGTATGAGGTTAAATATGTGGTGTGGTGTGTGTGGGGGGGGGGGGTTTGGACCGCTGTTTAATGAAGTTAATCGCGTGGGTGGCTCGAAGAGTTCGTCAAACTAATTTCATCATTTTGCTGCAGTTATCCACAGTACACCATGTCGAAGCCAGCTCTCTACTATGCCACACTGAGTCCTCCCTCACGCGCCGTTCTGCTCACGGCCAAGGCGATCGGTCTTGATCTTGAACTGCGGTAAGTTCCCACAACCATAATACCCCATATATAAACCAATTAACCGGAGCCTCCCCGCCCGTACAGGCCAATTAACCTGCAGAAAGGTGAACATCTGACGCCGGAATTCGTCAAATTGAACCCCCAACATACCATTCCGACCTTGATAGATGGGGATGCAACGATAATCGACTCGCACGCCATCTGCGCCTATCTGGTGGAGAAATACGGAAAGGAGCAGCAGCAGCTCTATCCAAAGGACTTGGTGCAGCGCGCCAATGTCGATGCACGTCTGCATCTGGATTCGGGTCATCTGTTCGCCCGCCTGCGTTTCCTATACGAGCCGATCCTGTACTTCGGTTCGACGGACTGTTCCATTGACAAGATTGCCTACGTTCAAAAGTGCTACGAGATTCTGGAGGGTTTCCTCAAGGAGCAGCCCTACTTGTGCGGCACTGATCTAACCATTGCCGACTTCTGTGCCGTGGCCACAGTCGCTTCGGGGAACGATACCGCTCCAATTGATGAGTTCAAGTTCCCCAAAGTCAACGCCTGGCTGAAACGTCTTGCGGAGCTGCCCTACTATCAGGAACTGAACGGAGATGGGGCCGAAGAGCTGAAGGCCATTTTCAAAGCCAAGTTGGCCGAGAATCGCGGCAAGTAGTTCCCCTAGCGACTACTTATCCAATCTTTTATGTCTACACATACATTTATCTATGCTTGAATAAACGGCTTTAGTTTTGCAACCCCATGGGGCATATGGAATACGACAAATTACAGCAACTTTGATCGGTATTTTATTACATTCTTAGCTTACATATAGCAACAATTACTTAGAGGTAAAGCAAATGGAAAACGTCTTGAATGGATCGGAACCGAAACGCTAAAAGGCAGGGCGGTGTTGGGTCTGGTCAATATTCTGCTGCTCGCAGATATCCTCTTGGATAGGGGTATGTGTATGGTAACCCTCCTATTGAGTCTGTAAAATATACACCTACACGATGCTAACGATGGTTATGTTTACAAACATAGTCTCGTATGCGGTTTTTTTTTCTTTTTTAAATTTATAATGAACGAAACCAGATATAAAATATAACTAGAACATTTTACAATTATACACCTGCAATAGCAAAGGCTGGCCTGGGAATGGGATTGTTGTATGGTTTTCAACTGGAAGGTAGGGGAGTGCATCGTCATCAATCCATTACATTAAGCACCCAAGGCCTGCTGTCTGGAATCAAGAGTCAATGTACGAGCACTTCAGTTGTGGCTGCTGCTGCTACTGCTGGTACTGGTTGTGTTACATGCTTATAAAAATATGGGTAAACAGACTATCACGATCCATGTTCATGCATACACACTCTCTCAGACATTCACACTGTTACACAAGGCTCTATTACATAAAGCCGTCTATGTGTGACCCTAATCTCGGCGCAGCAAGAATCTTTTAATGCTTTCCGGCAGTGGCAGGTCGTCAACCGCATCCTCTGGGACGTGCTCCAGGATTACATTGCGGCAGGCGCTTTGCAGGGACAAAACTGCGGAATCGAACAAGTAGACGGTTATAAATATACGGAAAAACATGGCTCGATTCACTGCACTTACTGCCATCGAGCTGGATAATGCGGATCTGCTTGGTGGTACCGTACACATCGATAACAACAAATAGGGGTGCCATATTCAAGGGAATTTCCCTGGCGACTGGTCCACGGGACACTCCATTAATGATGAAATGAAGCTCGCCCCTGGACGGGCTGTTGGTTGTGGGCACGTAAATGATGCCGATGCGCGAACCTGTGTCGGTGAGCAGAATGTCCGAGTTTCCTTTGCCCATGGCCGGACGCAGCAGTCTTTTTGGCAGCAGGCCACGCGGTGTCTTTATATGCGGGGCATCGCCCAGTAGGTTTCCTAAGAGAGCAGGCGTTACCAAAAGCTTCACTGCATCAATGGCCGTCTACTCACTGTGTGACTGACTATAGGTCTCTGGCTCGATTATGTCGACGGGCTCCTGCCGCTGATTCATATCGAACTTGGAGATCGGATAAATCCAGCTGTTGCCCATATTGGCCAGGTCGGGCAGAGCAAAGTGCGGAAGGCCGTCGGGGCTTGCCTCAATCACATTGGGAGTCAGCTCGGTGAGGCCCAGGCGCATGTGGCCCGACCATCCGCGCTCTATCTGCTCAATCTCAATTAGGAATATGTCGCCCGGCGCCAGCGGACGCTCCGAGAAAGCCAATGCATCAGCGAAGCTCGCCCTGCGATACGCGACGGTAGCATCGTCATCGAGCTGGATGTTTGACCCATGATAGGGATGGAAACGGCTGATCTGGCGCTTCAGACTGCCCACACTGTTCGACAGCGGATGCTGGTGCGGCGGCTCCGCGTCTGTTGGCCCATCGAGCTGGGCCGCCTGGTCCTGGTTCTGGGCGGCTTCCATGACGCGTGGGCGTTAATAACTGGCGGTCAATTTATGCCCTGTAATTCTTGACCTTCCTTTCCGTGCTATTATTTACCCTTTTTCGTATATATCTATATACTCCGACTGTTTTTTGTTGTTTTGTCGCTGAAATGTTGTTTGACGCGGAAGCAGTGCTGCGAGCTACGACAAAATCTGATAGTGTTGGTTAGGTTATTATTAAAAATTGTTTGTTAAAAAAAAGTTAAATTGTTTCCAAAAAGATTATTTTGGTATTGGTATTATCATTCAAAGAGGTTGGTTTTTAATTTTTGATTTAATTTGTTTTAATCTAAAAACATCCATGTCGCGATACTTATCGAAAAGAGGAGGGAAAATCATCGCATAGAATCGCATTGCTTGACGTAACCGGAACAGCTGATCTGAATAACGGAGAAAAGGAATATTATTGGTAAAACTTGTATTTATTTGACTAAAAAGGAGGGAATTGAGTGACTTGGTGTTTTCCGTAGAAATGCGCATTCCCGGAGCCCTCTATGCAGCACGTGGCCGCGCTCCCCAGAGCGAGAAGGATGTACCATTCCAGGAGATTCTGCCGCTGCGCCTGAAGAACACGGTGAGCGGTAAGGCAGACTCTGGATCGGATGTGGCCTGTCTGCAGGAGATGGGCATGCTGTTCGCCTGCATGAAGGACAACGAGTTCGTGGAAAAGTACTGCCACAAAGAGATACAGCAGTTCCAGAACTGCTTCAAGTGCTACATGGACCGCAAGTTCGAGGCCAAGAAAACCGTCAACCAAGGAGTCGTGCAGCCGGGCAACAACCTTAACTATAAGCAACTGAACAAGTACATGCGTCGCTTCCCTAATCCCGTCTAGAGTAGATCCGACTGTTGAGCCTTTTAATAATACATACACTATTTACAAAGTAGTCAAAGACTTATTTCCATTCTTATTCTAGTTCTTCCCTAGTAGACCACATCGGCGTCGCCCAGGCCCGCAGAGGACTGGCTCTCGGGGGAGGGCTGGCTGAGGACGAAATTGGACATGGCACGCATATTGTGGAGCTGCTGGAGCTGGTGTGGATGCTGCTGCTGCTGATCGTAGAGATTGCCGCGTTCTAGCAGATCGGAGAGCTTCGACGGCATTGCTAGATTGATGTGCAGCGGATAGCCGCCATGCTCCCATGTGTCGGCCAGAATGGCCAGGCTGCGATTCGCCTCCAGAACGCGTGCCCGCTGGAAGTTGAGGCGCTCTTGCTGCAGCTCCGACCATTGATCCTGCAGTGGATAGAATGGAAAATCAAATTTGGAAGAATACAAGAGCCTTGTTTTACTCACGAATCTGGTGCCGAGTCGTCCGAAATACTTGATCTGCTCCTGCACGTTGAGCACCTGCTGCATGTACCAGTCCCGCGCCTTCTCCACACCGTCTAGGCCAAACAGCAGCAGCTCCCGCTGCTCCTCCAGCTGCTTGAGCCGCTTCAGCATATTGTAGTCGATGCCGTGCTGGAGCGTGTGTCTGCGGGACTCGCGCCGCTTGCTGCTCGACTTCTTCGGTGGCAGGGCCAGGTTCCAGTCGGTGGCCGAGGCCGAGGTGGAGGATGATCCACCATCCGCGGATCCGCGATGCTCGAATTGTTCGCGGGCGGTCTTTAGCGTTAGCGACTTATGCTTGACTGTACTCGCATTCGCATCCCGCTCGCTGTGCATAAGATTCAGCTGCCAATTCTGGAGGGCGTGGCGAATGTCCGCCTTGCCCAAAGCCGGAGGAGATGTGGCCACGGTTGCTGCCTGACGCGGAGGCTTGGGCGGTGGTGCTGGCGATCCGTACTCCAGATCAGCGCCCAGGCTTTGGGGCTGTGATCGAGGCCGAATCTTTGCTTCGCTCATCTGTTGCTGATTGCGCAGCAGGCATAGCTTCAGGCCGGCACAGAAACGTTCGAAGGAGAGAAGGCCACAGCTGGGTGTGACCCGGCGCAGAGAGTCCAGGACCCCGCGCGGCAGTCCCTTCGACCCATCGTCCTGCCAACCCTTTTCGATGTCCACATACCTCACGTAGCCGCTCTGCTTGTCGTCCAGGATATCGAAGAGCTTCTTCATGGACAGCACGAATTGCTTAGGCAGTGCATCCATGTCCAGGGACTGTCCTTGGCTGGGACTGTTTCCATTGAGAGCATCGCTGGTGTTGAGGGCCAGCATGCTGGTGCTGGTTTTCTGCCGCAGCATCTTCCTCTGAAAGAGAGACCCAAAATGGAAAGTGTGTACTCGGATTATGGATGGTCCCACGCAGTGGACTCAATGCATAACTTGAATATTCATGTGAGCCCATTTGGATCTTTCATGATTCAGTCAACGAACGGAGTCTAAGACGTAGACAGAGGTGGAGATGTTGATGGAATGTATGATGGGAAAACCAAAGAGAATTGCCTAACCCATGGCTCACATCATCTTCCAAAAGGAAAGACTCACGCCCTGAACTGTTTTATACCGTTGCTAAAGGCACTAGTGTTTCTTGACGGACTTATAGGGCACACAAGGAAGGTTATTCGCCTTTCAAAAGTTTGCACTGTAAAATCATAAAACTGTCACAGTACCATTCTGCAATGGTATCTAAAGCTACGGCCTCCTTTTCCTGCTTTGTTTCATATTTTTTCCCATTGTATGGGATTGTTTATAAACAAAAACTTCACTCAGAATCCAAATGCTTTTGCGAACATCTTGTAACTTTTCGTCAAGACTTGGCACAAGTTTCCACCTACAAATTGGATTTAAATTTCCCCCAAGCCCAGTCTCTTAAGAAACCAATACTTTTCGGCATTATTGTACGAGTACTTACCTTAAGCTATGCGGAAATGTATCCACCAATTCAGAGTGCGATTCTGTGTGGCAGCCTTTTGAGGCCGTTCGTCAAGGCTTTGCACAAGTTTTGCACCTATTTTCGAGTGGCGGCAGTGGTGGCTCCAATGTGTATGTAATGCACTTCCAGTGCGGCGTCGCGTCGGCGCTCTGCGTCGCTTCAGTTCGGTCCAGCTCCCGGCCAAAACACCCAAACCCAACTGACTGGTTGTGCTGTTGACTGCACACTCGACTATGGGTCTCGAGACTGTGGCGGGCACGCATGCTCAACTGGTTGACTGGCGGCGGGACTGGTTTCGTTTCTGTTGTTGCTTTTTTCGGTGGATCTTTCAAACACAACACACACACAGATACTCACGAAGAGCATAAGGAGGCACAGGCCCCCATACACACACACACACACACACACACACACACACACACACACACAAACAGAGCACACTACCATCGAAGCGGTTTGGCCTAGCCTAAATCCCCGCAAGCGAATCGGCGAGCAGAGAAGAGCGAGAGATAGAGGTGGGGGGGCATTTTAGAAGAAATATATTTATTTATTAGTAGAAATTCAATGCGCCTGGCTTAATCAGTCAAAGAGGGAGCTAATCGCCTAAGTTAAAATTGTATCTGGTATCTGTCACGAACTGCAGACTCTACGCAATCCAAGTCGATGGATCCTTCGCCTGGGTCACTAGAATGAGCACTTCATCTCGATCCTTCTCTCTTAACTGCTAAAGAGTACACTTATGCTAAGGATCTAAAGATCTCATGGGCTCTCACAAATCGGCCACTGACTTCCGGCGCACGTATTTGGCAAAGTAGTCCGGACGCCAGCACTTGCAGGAGCCGGGGATCAAGAACCAGTCGTAGTAGAGACGCACCTGGAAGCAGCCCAGCTCATCGTGCCCATCGCAGTGGGCATCCGCTGGCGCCACGCCCGCTCCGGCTCCATTTGGACCCGTGGAGGAGGTACCATCGGAGGCGGTGGCCACACCGGCACGCTTCTGCAGGTACTGCTGATAGGCCTGGAAGTCCTGCACCGAGGGCGCCTGGGTGGTCGTTGAGCTGGTGGGCACGGTGTCCTCCGCATTGGGGTAGAAGATCTCTGCAACCAGCAGGCTAACCCAGCGGGGCGAGGAGAGACATCCACCGTCGAGATAGTGGCACCTGGCCTGGATGCAGCGCGTCACCTCCACCGTCTGGGTGAAGTAGCCCTCGTAGGGGATCTGGACCACATAGCGCCAGGCGCCCTGGTAGTTCTTTGCGAACACTGGCGTGGCATACTCCACCTTGGCGGGGCAGGGTGTGGGCGGACCCTCATATCTAATGGGTCCCACTTCCTCCCGTCTCTCTGCTGTGGGCGTGGCAGCGGCGGCACTGCCAGTGTCTCCCTGAATGGCCCGATATAATGTGCAGAATCTAAGGGAGAGAGATTATTAGGGATTAGCTCAAAGGACCTGTTGCAGTTCGTGAGGGATGCTGATGATTCCGATGAAGATTATAGGATTTACTTACACGCCACCGCCATCGCAGAACTTTCGGGGTTTACGCTCTTCGGCGGCTCTTTTCTGTTGCTGCTCCCGCTGCTGCTGCTGCTGCTGCTGCTGGTGGTGTCCGTCCTCCTCGTCCAAAGCAGGATCGAAGTAGCTGTACTCATTGGACTGTATGCCATCGGGGACGCTGCGACGAATGCGTGTGGATCCGGAGCCGGGATACGGCCTGTCGATGTTGTTGTTGTCCAGCTGCTCCACGGGCTCATCGCGTATGATCTGGGTGACCTTGGGCAAGGTGTCGTCGGCCTTCAGCACGGGCAGAGTCTTCGAGAGGAACTTCAGCGTCTGGTTGCGTATTAGCTCGCTGGAGGGGAAACGAATGGTTGTGGATTTCCTTAGGAATGCGACTCGGTTCTCAGATCAGGTGAAAGACTTACAAGGGATAGGGCTCGCCAAGCACGTTTTGTCCGAGAGGATTCTTGGGTATCTGTCCCTTGTTCAGATCGCCGCAGATGTTGTGCACGGAGACGGCCGACTTCTTGCCCGCCGCCACATCCTTACAGTCCGCATTCACGAAGGTATACGGTGGCGGCCTGACCCTTGGTGGCACGGCGTTCGGGGACTCCACAAAGGCGTAGTAGCCTTCGGGCGGCTGCTCCTCACCGTAGTCCGTTGCGGGCGATTGCTGCGACTGGCCAAGACCCAAGTGGGCCAGCAGCAGAAAGCTGAGAATTTTCTAAAAATAAAAAGACAGTCACAGATGGGGCATGGAGAAACAAATCAAATTAATTGTCGAGTTGAAGTCGAAGTCAGAGTCAGCATGAATGGTCCCGCATTGTGTGGAAAGAAATGCTCTCTCTCCCTCTCTCTCCCTCTCTCTCCGTCTGAGACATTTTTTGTTGTTTGGCGAAAGCGCGAAAGTTGCGGGCTTGAAAATAAACAAACCCGACAACTGAAAATTGAACTGAAACCAAACTGAAACTGAGATCCGAGACTGAGACTGAGACAGAGACTGTGATCTTTGCATCTCTGTGGGCCTGCTGCTCACTTGACCATTAAGTGCTGTGGTCCAGGGGCTAGGGGCTAGGGGACAGGCGACTGGGAACTTTCCCTGAAATTCTGGCCACTTCAATGAAATCAAAAGTTCAACAAAGAGATTCAGGTCAAGTCAGTAACATCTCTTTTGTGCTGGTGAGGGCGACTGGCCTGGCTGCAGTCTTAGACACTTTGGAATTTCTCTGTCATTGCCACTACTGCTCTTCCCCAATCTCCTCCCCCCTTCTGTCTGTGATGTTTTATGCCCAAGTGATTCTGCCTGTTTTGGGGTACGATGCGATGATCCCCAAAACCAAGCTGTGGCATCTCTTGACTTCGTGACATGATTCACAGCACAAATTTGAATTCCGTCTAAAGGGAAATTGGGTCAAAGACTCAGGTCTCGTTTCATTCTTCTGTTTTCCACTTCTTTGGCCCATTCTAATGAGGCTAAAACTCGTTTGTTACCAAAAAAAAAAAAAAAAACCCAACAAAAATGAAACGGAGAAACAACAGGAAAGAATTTGCATGGTAAATATTTGTAGCCTAATTGCAGATTTGAGAATTGACCGCATTTCGGTCCATGGGTGATGGGTGATGGCCAGCAACAACTCCAGAGGTGGCTCCTCCAGCCAGATAACTCGTTGGGGTGGCGTGTGTGTGCTGTGCTCCAAATGTGTGCATGCTATGGCTAACGGGAAAGTTGCTGCGGCACCCAGGCTAGAAGAACGCACCAACGGAACGGAACCGACTAGAACAGAGCCAAAGCCCCACTCCCTATCCTACCACTCGACAGTTAGTTTAATTCATTAGCATGCTCCAGAATCGGGCCATTTTCCCAGCCACACAGCAAGCAAATGTTGCAAAACAAATGACTTGGCCAACGAACTTCAGACATGGCAAAAACAGTTAGCACCAGCTATAAGGCGCCCATTCCTATGCCATGCCATCCCATTCCCTTTCCCATAATGACACATACCAACAGTAAACGATAATCCATGCTCAATGGGACAATCTTTTCTTCTGGCGATCAACTTCTTTCCGACACGCACACAATAATGGTTTCTCGGTCTCGGTCTCGGTCTTGGCCTTCTTGAGAGTCGGGTCTCGGTTTTCTTTGATCCGCAGCGCGAACACAGAACAGAACAAGACGCGTCAAGTGCAGCAACTGAACTGAAACTGAGCCAAGAGTGTGGCAGCCAGCAGACGTTGAACCTCCAGTGGGACTCTGGCTTTGTCGCCTGCTGTTGCTTCTTGAGGCCCGGTCAACGGGCAAGAGCGTGCCGCAAGAAAGTGGATTGAAAGAAAGCTTTGCCATGAATTTAGCATACAAGAGAGCTACAGAGAGACGGTGAGAGAGCCCCGAGTCTGGCGCCCGCAACCACTTTTCGTAGCGGTCTTTCCGGCTGACTTTGCTGGAGATAAAATACATACTCGTACATTACATTACAGTGTAGAATTAAAAATACGGTACGAGTATAATATGCCGCTTCCCAATTTTCCACAACACTGAAAGAAGCAGCTCCAACCACTTAGGTTAGGCTAGGTTAAGGCTGTAGCTGGAGAGAGGGACGAACCTTCTTCTGTTCGGCATTCTTCAGATAACATATGGTGGGTGTTGTCTTCGAGAGAACTCTACGCAAGCGCGAAGCTTCTGAGTTGGTCTCGAATAAGTGGACAAACCGAGTATGTAGTGGTTTTTCTCTCAATCCTATTTTGGTTCACCTGATATCCTGTTTATATGTTTGCACATTTCATATAAGTGAAAGGTTGTTTCTAAATAACATCCAAATATGAGTTTCCATTATTTCCAACAATTTCACGTTTATTTATGAATTCAATGAACAT